AGTTTTATTGTTATCAGACTTATCGTTATTGTCAGTTTTATCGTTATCAGACTTATCGTTATCGTCAGTTTTATCGTTATCAGACTTATCGTTATCGTCAGTTTTATCGTTATCAGACTTATCTTTACTGTCAGTTTTATTGTTATCAGACTTATCGTTATTGTCAGTTTTATCGTTATCAGACTTATCATTATCGTCAGTTTTATCGTTATCAGACTTATCGTTATTGTCAGTTTTATTGTTATCAGACTTTTCTTTATCGTCAGTTTTATCGTTATCAGACTTATCGTTATCGTCAGTTTTGTCATTATTAGACTTATCTTTAGTGTCAGTTTTATTGTTATCAGACTTATGGTTATTGTCAGTTTTATCGTTATCAGACTTATCGTTATCGTCAGTTTTATCGTTATCAGACTTATCGTTATCGTCAGTTTTATCGTTATCAGACGTATCTTTACTGTCAGTTTTATTGTTATCAGACTTATCGTTATTGTCAGTTTTATCGTTATCAGACTTATCGTTATCGTCAGTTTTATCGTTATCAGACTTATCTTTACTGTCAGTTTTATTGTTATCAGACTTATCTTTATTGTCAGTTTTATCGTTATCAGACTTATCATTATCATCAGTTTTATCGTTATCAGACTTATCTTTATTGTCAGTTTTATCGTTATCAGACTTATCTTTATCATCAGTTTTATCGTTATCAGACTTATCGTTATTGTCAGTTTTATTGTTATCAGACTTTTCTTTATCGTCAGTTTTATCGTTATCAGACTTTTCTTTATCGTCAGTTTTATCGTTATTAGACTTATCTTTAGTGTCAGTTTTATCGTTATCAGACTTATCTTTATCGTCAGTTTTATCGTTATCAGACTTATCGTTATCGTCAGTTTTATCGTTATCAGACTTATCTTTACTGTCAGTTTTATTGTTATCAGACTTATCGTTATTGTCAGTTTTATTGTTATCAGACTCATCTTTATCGTCAGTTTTATCGTTATCAGACTTATCTTTATTGTCATTTTTATCGTTATCAGACTTATCATTATCGTCAGTTTTATCGTTATCAGATTTATCATTATTGTCAGTTTTATCGTTATCAGACTTATCTTTATCGTCAGTTTTATCGTTATCAGACTTATCGTTATTGTCAGTTTTATTGTTATCAGACTTTTCTTTATCGTCAGTTTTATCGTTATCAGACTTTTCTTTATCGTCAGTTTTATCGTTATTAGACTTATCTTTAGTGTCAGTTTTATTGTTATCAGACTTATCGTTATCAGACTTATCGTTATCGTCAGTTTTATCGTTATCAGACTTATCGTTATCGTCAGTTTTATCGTTATCAGACTTATCTTTACTGTCAGTTTTATTGTTATCAGACTTATCGTTATTGTCAGTTTTATCGTTATCAGACTTATCATTATCGTCAGTTTTGTCGTTATTAGACTTATCTTTAGTGTCAGTTTTATTGTTATCAGACTTATGGTTATTGTCAGTTTTATCGTTATCAGACTTATCGTTATCGTCAGTTTTATCGTTATCAGACTTATCGTTATCGTCAGTTTTATCGTTATCAGACGTATCTTTACTGTCAGTTTTATTGTTATCAGACTTATCGTTATTGTCAGTTTTATCGTTATCAGACTTATCGTTATCGTCAGTTTTATTGTTATCAGACTTATCTTTACTGTCAGTTTTATTGTTATCAGACTTATCGTTATTGTCAGTTTTATCGTTATCAGACTTTTCTTTATCGTCAGATATATCGTTGTTAGACTTATCGTTATCGTAAGTTTTGTGGTTATCAAACTTAACGTTATTGTCAGAATAATTGCCATCGTTACAGTTAATGTTTTCATCAATTTTTTCTGACTCATTCTTATCATCAGATTTATCGTTATCAGCAAATTCATTGTTGTCGGATTTAGAGTAATTGTCAGTTTTATCATTATCAGGCTTGTCTTTATCGTCAGATTTATCATTATCAGACTCATCTTTATCGTCAGTTTTATCGTTATCAGACTTATCTTTATTGTCAGTTTTATCATTATCAGACTTATCTTTATCGTCAGTTTTATCGTTATCAGACTTATCGTTATCGTCAGTTTTATCGTTATCAGACTTATCTTTACTGTCAGTTTTATTGTTATCAGACTTATCGTTATTGTCAGTTTTATCGTCATCAGACTTTTCTTTATCGTCAGTTTTATCGTTATCAGACTTATCGTTATCGTCAGTTTAATCGTTATCAGACTTATCGTTATCGTCAGTTTTATGTTTATCAGACTTATCGTTATCGTAAGTTTTGTGGTTATCAGACTTATCGTTATCGTCAGTTTTATCGTTATCAGACTTATCTTTACTGTCAGTTTTATTGTTATCAGACTTTTCGTTATCGTCAGTTTTATCGTTATCAGACTTATCTTTATTGTCAGATATATCGTTGTTAGACTTATCGCTATTGTCTGATTTGAAGTTATCAGACTTGTTAGAGTTAATGTTTTCATCAGTTATCAGTATTGTCAGACTTACCCCTACTTCACAGTAGAAGCATCAGCCTTGCAGAACGCAAGTGAACGGTTTACTCGCTAGCTTCACAGTATGCCAAAACACACCGGGGGAGTCTCAGCTGCAGAACGGCTTTTCCGCCGTGCTTCTCACTGAACTTGCGAGATCACAAGATACCTTGAGTCTTCAAAAGTCACGGTTTGTTTATGCCATCTGCTGTTAAACCAAAAAGAAGGAGATCACGTTTTATATCACTGTTTGATGTCGTATATGATGTTGTTCCTCTCCACTGCCAGGATTAAAGCCATGAAAAACACACCACTGCACTTCTGGAACGATGCTGGGAGTAAATAAACCTTGAGTTCACACATATAGACGTAAACTACATAGCTATGAAATTGCATCCCTGCAGTAGACTTATTGTGAAAATTACCTGACATTTTACTCTGAAACCGTGTGTGATTTCCTGTTCGGCAGTTGACATGTCCCAGAAGCGGGTTGTTGCAAAAATAGAATCTGATTCTATCTTTAGCGGCGCGGCGTTCCGCTTCTGGGACGTGCCTGAAAATTGCCGCGTCGAGGCTGGTTTGAAACACCCCCACAGACTATAACGGATTGAAGCAGCGACATTGCACACTTATCAACAGAATACTCTAAAATTTAATGAAATATACAGACAACCTGAACGTCGTTACAATATATCGTGGCATCACGTTGTGCCCAGACACTTGTGCTGATGATCTATACCAGGGGTTGGCAACCTGTTCCCATCAAAGAGCCATTATTACCCGTTTCCCACAGTAAAGAAAACACTGGGAGCCACAGCAGCCACAGCGTTGTTGGCGGGGCCTACCCTCAGACATCTGAGAGCTGCTTTAACTAATCACAACAGGTGACAGCAGCCAGTACCGGTCGCTCGTGTACGTCAAAGTTATCTTTCATAAGACGATAATCAATAAAACGATTTATATAAAATGGATCCAGAAGCTGTAGCCCGTCTCTGCCTGTTGTAATTAAACTTTGTAGGTGGGGAAGGTCAAAAAAGGATCCGATCATTTTGTTTTTCCCTCATTTACAGTGATGGAGACAATGGCGCAGTGCGCCTGGCTCTGGTGTTAATCAAGTTAAATTATATCTCTTTGCGACAATTTTCACAAGAAAACAGAACAGTTAAAAGCAGGGCTTGTGTTGTGTTGACCGGATAGTTCCCGTATTTGACCGTTTATTTTGACGGAGAAAGAATAGAAAGAATTACCCCGACGCATGCAGACGAACTGACATTTTATTCTACGCACATCACAGATGTAGCTAAATCACTCAAGAAAAGATTCCCATCTGAACATCTGAGCTGGACACTGTTCAGCGCAGCTCACTGTCAGCATGTACTACATAAGGTCCACAGCGAGCTGAAGATGTGGAGAGGGGCTTGGAGCGCGTCGCAGAACCAGAGCGCATGCAGGAAGATTCCTCCGACTGAAGCGAGACTTGTCACTTAGAAAATGTTCCCTGATTATGAAACTTTGGCTGAATAGCGCTTGTTCCTGTCTCCAATGTGGCGACGCATCCAGGAGCCTGTCTAAGGAGAATCCCAGAATCTCACAACCTCGTCAGCTCAGGGAGCGCCTATGATTACGCACAAGCGTGACGCGTCAACCCGGTCTCACAGTAAGACCGGGTTGGACCTGTTCAGGTTTACGTAGACAATCTTTACATTTAGAATTGGCTTACAGATGTAAAATTAATGCAGTAAATTATAAAGCATTTTATTTAAATATCCATTCATTATTTTACAAGCACAGAGAGCCGCATCAGATGATGGAAGAGCCGCATGCGGCTCTAGAGCCGCGGGTTGCCGACCCCCGATCTATACCGACCTTATCGTTGACTCTGCGATACGAGACGGTCCTGCAGACCTAATCATAAACGGATCTTTTCCTAGTTTTTACACACGGATAAAAGCCTTCAGCGTCTCCGTTGTCCTGACACTCACCACCAGATTCTCTCGTTATGAGCTGAGCGGGTGAGATCTTCCCCCTCTGTGTTCATGAATTATTCTGTTGGAGTTCGATCCCTGCCCCCGCATTAATAATTCACCACCTCAGCCTGCTTTTAACCCGCATCAACATCAGCAGCCTCTTTCTGAAAATGTAAAAATCTTCAGGTCCTTTCTTAATTGGAGCAAATGTCAACAGTTAGAAGCGTAGGAGGATTATTTTAGATCGTTTTAAACAATCTCTGAGCTTTGAACCGTTTCATTTACGGCTCTTTGTTGCCGTTCTGTCAGCTCTCCGGGTTTTCATGTAACAGCTGATTAAAGGAAGTAGAACAACGTTTCTGGTGCATTATTAAGCGACACCCCCACCCCCCGCTGCTCAGACAAACAGCTCTCTCTCCTCACGTTTCACCTCATGTCCTCATCAAAGACTGTATTTTTTTGTCTTCTCTATCATCTTTGTGTCTACCATGCTGTCTCCGTGTCCCTGCAGGTCCAGGGAACAATGCAGCGGCATCCGCCGGGCTCGCCCAGTCCCAGTCCAGAGCCATGATCGCAGCCGCCGCCCGGCGCCGTGACACCAGCCACAACGAGCTGTACTACGAAGAGGTGGAGCACGAGAAGCGGGTCCGCAAACGCAAAGCGCGGTGAGTCCGAGGAGCAGCTCGAGGATTCTGTGAAGAAGCAGGAGTAACTGTGTGTTTCCTCCCAGCCTGGTGGTGGCGGTAGAGGAGGCCTTCACCCACATCAAACGCATGCAGGACGACGAGCAGAAAAAGGCTCCCGGGGACGTGATGGACCCCAGAGAGGCGGCGCAGGCCATCTTCCCCTCCATGGCTCGGGCCCTGCAGAAGTACCTGAGGACCACCAAGCAGCAGCACTGCCACAGCATGGAGAGCATCCAGCAGCACCTGGCCTTCTGCATCACCAACAACATGACGCCCAAGGTCCAAACTGCTTCCATCAGTCGCCTGCTGGCTCTGGAAAGACTCTGTTACTCATTTGTTCTTCTCCCCTCCTCCAGGCCTTCCTGGAGAGCTACCTGACGCCAGGCCCCACCCTGCAGTACAACCAGAACCACTGGATGGCCCGACGGTGGACGCTCATCAGCGAGGCGTCGGTCACCAGCGGCCTGAAGGACGGGACCATCTTTTTGCTCAAGTGCGTGGACTTCAGTCTGGTGGTGAGGTCCAAGAAGATCCCTTACATCCAAATGTCTGAGGAGTACATCGACCCCAAATCCCACAAGTTTGTCCTGCGACTACAGTCCGAGACCTCCGTGTAGGACGCTGCTCTCAATCCGCCACGTGCTCACTAATGTTTTCCTTTTGGGTTTGAAGTTTTTATTTGTTCTTTTTCGTGTTTTTATATATAAAAATATACAAATCTATATCACACACGTCAGAGTTTATTGGTATTTTGAACGAAAAGCTGTGGCAGGCGGGGTTTGGACGAGCGTTTCGTGTGCACATACTGTCGTTTTTGTTTTTCGTGTCTGCACAATCAGCCAAACGAGGCCCAAGTTACGTCACGCTTGGAGACACGGAGACCGTTTCCAGGAGACAGACAGATTGAAGGATGAGTCTGTGCCCACCCGTGAAGGGATTTTCACCCATTTTCAAGTGTTTTTGTTTAAAAGTTATAATTACCTGCTTCCAGATGGGCCTCTGTTTAAAATACAGGATTGCTGGGCTAAAGGCTAGTCAAAACACAACCAAAATCAAAGTTTTTCTTTACATTTTTACTTTTAAATTTCACATTAAAAGCTTATTTACACATAAAGTTCATCCTAACCGCTCAACAAGAATGATTTGTTCCATACTGAAACTTGAGTGTTCCTTCCTTTCGCTGCTATTCTGTTTTGTTGTGTTTTAGATCATGGAACATCCCCTCAGAACCGGTCCAGGTACCACTCAGGCTGTCCGCGGGTCCTTAAAGAGTCTTCAAAAGTCTTAAATTTACTTTTCCAAATTTAAGGCCTTGAAAATCCTTAAAAATGACAAATAATCCTTAAATACAGTTTCCAAAGGTCTTAAATTACCAAAGACCCAATAAACTAGATTATTTTATTTCTATGACATTTTCGTGAATTTCAGTATTTTTTGTGTACGATGTTGGCGTAAGCGGAACCGTACACATTCAGTTGGTTGTGAAAGGGGACTATTTTTAGATGAGCATGTTAGCTGGTTAAGCTAGTGGGAGCTTGCGCCATGGAGAAGTGCAAGTTTAATGGTAACTGGATGGCTAATCCCATGTTCGCGACGTGGTTAGCACCGGTTCCAGGCAATAGCTGGAAATTATAGCATAAAATTAATTTAAAAAATCGCTTAAATTTGGATCTGGATCAAAAGGAGTCAGTTGAGGTGGTTTGGGCATCTGGTCAGGATGCCTCCTGGACGCCTCCCTGGGGAGGTGTTTCGGGCATGTCCTGTCGGCAGGAGGCCCCCGGGTCAACCCAGGACACGTTGGAGAGATTACATCTCCAATCTGGTCCGGGAACACCTTGGGGTCCTGCCGGAGGAGCTGGTGGAGGTGGCCGGGGAGAGGACGGTCTGGTGCTCCCTAGTTGGGATGCTGCCCCCGCGACCCGGACCCGGTTAAGCGGAGGAAAACGACGACAAGCTTAAATTTGGTCAAAGTGGCCTTAAAAAAGGTCTTAAATAGTCATAAATTTGGCTCCCTTAAACCTGCAGATACCCTGACCACTAGAGACACGGGTTAACAGCAAAAACTGCAGCTCTGACCACACTTTGGGACTGATCCAATTACATGAGGGGTTCTGTTCAGATGTGAAGATCTTCAAAAACAAACAAAAAAAGTTCAGTTCGCTTTAAAAAAAAGTGTTTTTTTGCTCACCGCACCATGGTTAAAGAAAATCTAGAAGATTTTTTTGTGTCAAAACCATTAAATGTGTTGTTTTACCTGCAATGTTACAGCAGTAAAACAAAACTGTGCAAGAATGATGATTACTCAAACTGTCGTGTTTTTCTTTTAGACGCCAAATTAGCGTTTAAATTTAAAACTCGCACGAAAAGTCCTAAAAAAATTAGTAGAAAGCCGTAAAACTGTTAAATCCTCACCATCACTCAAAGTCTTTTGTTTTTTCAGCTCAGGAGACTGGAGCTGTTTTAGTAAAGCAGCAACACGTGTTTGTCTTGGCTCTGTTCAGACTAGCCGTTAGCTCATCACTCCTGCATGTCAAAAGGTAATTTCTCCAAGCTGAGGTTCTTCGAGAAGTTTTCTCCAACAGGATATGATCAGTTATACTTTATACACAGAAACGGGCTTCAGAATGGTGCAGAAAGTTTCTTAAGGTTCAGCTCAGCAGGAGAGGCTGAGCTCCTCCTGCTGAGGCTCGTGGCGTTACCACGGCAACCAGGAGGGCTAGCATTAGCCACCAACATGAGATGCTTTGAGTTGTTTGGGTGCATTTTTCTTCTCCAGGTGCCATAAAAGCAAAAACATCCCAGCTGTAGTTGAGGAACATGGGATAAAACTGATACGGACACGTGCCCAAAGACATTTTGCCCCTTTTTTTCACCTCTGCAGTCTAGTAATCCTCTCAGGGCTTTTGTGTCTGCTGCCGCGTCACCTGGAATAATACTAAAAAAACTACTGATTCACCAGATTTAGACACGCAGGGCCTCTGAGGTGTCCGCGTATAAAGCTAACGTCCATTCATACACCTTACCTCGTAGCCTCTGGGGGTGCTCCAAATCCAAATTCTGCCTATGAAGGAAAAGATCTGGAGGCATACAGGGAGAAAAAGGGGAAATGTGGGATGATAATGAGCATTATTGTGAAGGAAGAGTGTAATGCCACATGATGTCGTCTCTCAGGGCTCACTGTTGCCACCATTCTTTATCATGATCAACAATTAGAGCTGCAGCAAGGTGGAACCTCCCTCCCAACTGGACTATCTGGTTTTCCTCACTTCACCTCCTTGGCTCGGAGACCATTCCTGCTTCATTTGCATGATTTATTACATACATTTTTAAATAAAGATAAGCTAAATGACCCCATCAGCTCCATGGTGCCTGCTCTGGTAACTCACTTTTAAAAAATAAAAAAAATCTTTTGTCAGGTCATGGATCACAAAGTTAATTGTCCTCTGCTGCCCTCTGGTGGGTAAACATGTAACTGTCAGGTTATTTTTAAATGGTTTCTTTCTAAAAGAAAAATCAAAGATGAATTTAAAGAACATGTCGCTCAAATTTCAAAGACTTGTGCTTGATTTGGTTTTTCTACAAGCCCGATATGACTGTGCCTCCTGGTCGATTTGACATTTTTTTCTTACTCCGTATTTATGGAAACAAACACTGTTGCTGGGTTACAGGCCTCTGTCGCAGCTCGGAGTCTGGTGGGTGGATTTGTGATGAGGATGGATTGATTTTTGTAAGAAAAAATAAAAACTTTTTAGAAAGTTTGTAAAACTTTTGCATTAGTATCATTTAAGGTCATTTTTACCTCATCACCAAATGAATATTAAAGTAAAGAGGAAAATGCAGTTTTTGAGTCAATGTTTTATTAAAGAGCAAGTCACCCTCAAATCAACTAAACTAAATGAGTGTCTAATTTATCTGTAGACACGTTCAGTCAATAACTCGGCACTTTAGTGCATCTTAGTTAAAATTTAAATAATCTGCCTAAAACTCAGCGATGCACCGTTGTCAGGCAAAAACTCAGCACTGCATTTGAATTTAAATCTGCCATCGCTATTGGCTAAGAGGTACACTATGATGTTAGATGGTACATTATGATGTCACAATGTTGTGAGTGTGTGTATTTGTTAGTGGCCCCGCCCTCTTGGTCTGCTAGGCAACAGCATTTGTTGCATTTTTCAAACAGGAAGTGGGAATTGAGTAAGAATCTGGCAGGGGGTGACTTGCTCTTTAAGATAAACATTCTATCCAGACCTGTGAAATAGCTTGTATTTGTATAGTGCCTTCTTAGAGTTGTACAATCCCCCAAGGTGCTTCACAACAGTCATTCACCCATTCACACACACTTTCACATGCTGGTGATGATGAGCTACAATGTAGCCACAGCTGCCCTATAGGGCTCACTGACAGAGGCGAGGCTTGCCGTACACTGGCACCACCAGTCCCTCCAACCACCACCAGGAGGCAAGGCGGGTTGCCCATGGACTCAGCAGCATCCAACAACCCGCTCTATCACCTGAGCCACTGCGGTCTCTTAACTGTGGTGAACCGCGTTATTTACACCATGAACACACGTAGCTGTGTTTTGTAAAACAATATCCTCTCTCGCCCAGCTAGGAAAAAACCCTGGGTACACACCATCTCGTTTTCAGTGAAATAATCAGGGCATTGTGAAGTACATTCGCAATGCCCTGCCGAGCCTGTAGGTGGCAGCACTTCCCAAAATAGTTTGCTCTTTGACAGAAAACATTATTTGGGTGTAAAATAAGGCCCAATCCCAATACTGCATGCCAGTTGTTTGTCCTACTTTTTTTAAACCTTTATTAACAACTTTCAAACAAACAAGCACTTGGCAAAATGTGGATCAAGGGTGCAAAAGGGTCGTGGTCAGCTTCCGCACTTGAGGACCGAGACACCTACGCACTCACACCCCTGGCCAGGAACACGCAATTGAAGGATGCAAAGGTGGAAGTGCGAGTATTGGGGCTGGGCCTTACTAGTTGGTGGGTATTAACCGTTCTTATTGTTGTCCTTCGCCTGTGGTCTTCTACATAGAGCAGTAACTGAGCTTGTAAAACAGGCAAGTCCAAACACACGTCACACATGTAAGGTGGGAGCACCAGTCGTCAAAGAGCGCATCTGCCACTACCACCCACCCACCCCCTTGGTCCGACAACAGCTGTCACACAGCGAATCGTGGATCTGCCAATGCCGAGTTTTCTAGGTTGAAAGATGACCAAATCATGGTAGAAGGACTTCCCTTTTCTCCCAACAAGAAGCATCATTGTTGCTCTCCAACTCTGTGAAATCCAGCAAAGACTGGTTTTAGACAGTGTCTCTTTTAAGTATTGATCTTGTCCTCCAACACAGTTACCCAGACACAAGTGTTCAGAGAATCAGCGTGTTTTTCCCACGATGTTTGGCAAGGCTTGGGTCCTTTCATTTGTTCTGTCCACACAAAATTGACCCTTTAAAGACTTTTCTAAGATATCATGTCAGTGGCATTACTGATCAACTCCAAAAGGTGCCCACAGTAACAGAGATGTAAAAAGATGGGACAATGGATGCTTGCTTTGTTGCTATACCCAACAAAGGCAGAGGTGAATGAAAGAAAACGTCTTCTCAAACTTTTCTTTTCCTTTGAATATTTTCTAGCAACTCTTCCGATTATAGAAATGTTCATTGTTTGCAACATCTGCTAATATCATTAGCCACTGAGTTACCACCAATCAGCAGTAGTTAATTACAAGTCCCATTCAGCAACTCTACCAGGCGAAGAGCTCAAGGCAGGTACTTGGTGTCTGACCCTGAAAACAAACTGACTCCTCACTTTCTGAGCCACGGGGCAGAGCAGCAATGTGTCAGAACTCATCTCTCTTCAATCCAAGAAGCTAAAATGAACTTTTTCTGTAAGGGTGGTTAGAATCAGACTGATGGTGGAGGGGTCATGGTTTGACCCAGCTAATGCAGGAGGTAGACTATTATCATGCTCAGCCTGTGTGGAAAAAAATTGTGACTGATTTTTTTTTTTTTTTCAAAAATAAGTCAAAAGAAAACCTGTGTTGCATCATATTTTGCCAACTTGTGTTTGCTATTAATGGTGCGTTACGTAGAAATGACGTAAAAATTACATCCTGTGATAAAATTTGGTTATTGCAACTAGTTGAATCAACTCTGGAGCTTTTTGCCGGTGTTGTGCCATAAATCGACTCGCTGCCAAAAAATGATTAGCCACTAAAGAAAGGAAAGGGGGAAAAATCTAATCGCTGGAGAATTGTTTATTTACATTTATACAACGTTTACATTCAATACAGGGCGCCATTTTACATTGTTTATTTATTTTTTAGTATCAAGGCTGTAACATAAAGAAAGCCAGTTCTTACCATAAACCATCTTTCAATCGCAAATATTGCAAAAAGGATTAATATATCCTCATTGTGAACGTTTAAGACAAATAGCAACACTTAAAACAACTTCCGAACTGGGAAAAACTAAGCTAATCATTTTTTGGCAGCGAGTCGATTTATGGCACAACACCGGCCGTAGTCAAATTACGATTGTCGGTGCAGCAGTGTTAGCTAGCGTTGCTGTCGATGACATAATGCTCCCTGGGTGTTTTTCAATGCCAAGGAACCTTGCCTTGATGTCTTGGCCCCGCCCCGGTTGCCTAGGAGATACATCATCGGAGCCGCCAAGCCGTTTTCCAATGTTCATATTCTACCGAGGCATGTGTTCTCCGTTTGTTAGCCGTTTAGCTAGCTGAGCGAGGGGAAATGTCTTGTAGCCTTGGTCAAAAATTACCCAGAGTATGCAGCGGTATTTTCAAAAGGACTGCAGATCAGAAGCTGGTAGCTACTTCGGGGGCTAATTTCAAGTTTAAACATGAGTCAGCTAATTTAAAATGTTTTTTTTTAAATCCAAATAAGTTATCTATGGTTGGGTAGTTGCTTAGTAGTTGCAGCTTTGTTGGCTAGCAGGTAGCAACTCACTTACATAGTTAATTAAATAAACATAAACACAATTTCCACCTTTCAGTTCTTTTTAAAACACAGAAAAGGTTTAATTACCTGCAATGTTTTGTTTGTGACTACAAACATCCTCAGAGCTGACGCTGATGGTGGCGTCACTTCCTTCTCCATTTATCCGCGGGCAGCAGAGGACGTTGTCGCCCTCTGCTGCCCGCTCTCCTCTCTCCGATGATGCAGTCCCATGCACGATCCAATGAGTAAACTCCATCGTCTCAGTTCATGGTCCCACATCCACGTCTCCTTATCTCTATGGCTTCTTTTATCCATATTTAGTATTTTTGTTGTTCGGTGTTTATGATCCTTGTGTTGTCCCAGTCCATTACATGGTTTTCTCTTATGCAGTGATCTGTTACGGCTGACTTCTTTATTGTGCTTTCTGCTTCTTGTTTTGCTGCTCTTGTGTGTTTTCGACTTGCCTCTTTCTCGCACTCCTTTCTGTGTTCTATTGTCCGTGTATTGAGTTGGCGTCCGGTTTCTCCTATGTATGCTTTATTGCAGAGTTTGCATGGGATTTCGTAAACGACTCCACATTTAAGTCCAGATGGTATTTTATCTTTTGGGTGCACTAGTCTGTTTCTAACTGTTGTGTATGGCTTTGTTGGTGTGTTTATGTTGTGTTTTTTCATTGTTGCTCTTACTTTTTCTGTTATGCCTTTGATGTATGGTAGGGTTATCACTGGTTTTGGTTCTTGCCTTTTGGGATTTCTAGTACTTTGCTTTGGTTGTTCTTTTCTTTCTGTTGTTGTTTGTTGTTTTCCTTTGTTTATTGCCCATGTCGGGTATCCGCAGGTCTTTAAAGTGTGTTGCCATGTGTTTGTCCTCTTGTTTACGGTCTCGCAAGGCCAGGCGCCTTGACATTGAGAAACACACTATGTTTCAGCAATTATTTGCACACTTGTGTACCAGGCACTCGAAGCGTTCCTCCAAGTGCACTTCATAGAAGACCGTAGGGCGCAGTGCGAGTATAGGGATTGGGCCCAACTCTGTGCCGCACTTGGTGTGAAAGAGGTTTTTCGTGCTCACCCACTCTTTGTGCGCCAGCTGTTGCACGTTCGGCACCTGACTGATGGGCGGAGTGAACGATATATGGTACATTGATGTGGATAGTTGTTCCTCTTGCTGTGTCAGCTGTTGTGTGGTAGTGTTGCCTGGAGAGCAGATTTCAGATCAGAAAGCTGTGTTGCCTGTTTGCTTGTATTTTAATTTGTATTCTACATTTCCTTTGTATTTTACTTATTACCTGTTTATTTATTTATTTGTTGGTGATAATTACTTGCTTGGGCTATTTTGTCCACTATCAAACACTGTTTGTTGAAGCATCGCATGTGTTTTTGTCCTCTTAGCTCTTTCAGAATCAGGACGTACATTGCTGTTTTTATTCACGTCACTCATAAAGTCTGAGACAGCTCGCAATTTATGGGGTTGAGCTAAAAATGTAATGATTTATTTCAGCATATAGGATTCTCTCTCTCTCTCTCCTCTCTCTCTCTCTCTCTCTCTCTCTCTCTCTCTCTCTCTCTCTCTCTCTCTCTCTCTCTCTCTCTCTCTCTCTCCTCTCTCTCACTTGACCAGGGATACCCCCAGAAAAATTTGATAAGGGTGGCCTGATGAGGCCAAAGAAAATTTTGGAGTGGCACTCCAAAAGGGTCCTTGTGGTAACTCTGGGAGAGTTTAGCCTGTGGTGATGCACTGAGTTGCTCCTTTATTCTTATTTAATAAAAAAAAACAATATGTATCCAAAACACTTAACTCAAATGACTTGAAATGTTATTTCAGATTTTATTTTAGAATTAAATTGTTTTAGTTTAATTTACCTGTTGCTAAAACTATGATGATATAAGCACTTTTTAAATGGTGAGCAGCCAGGGGCGTGGCCAGGGAGTGGCCTGGGGTAGCACATGCCACCCTTGGAATATGATTGGTCACCCCAGGTGTCACCACACCAAATTCCCTTTAAATAAGCTTTTCACATTGCACAAAAGGCTTGAAGTAAAACAAAAAAACCTAACCACTGGTGCCACATATGCACAAAGTAGTGCCTCACCTGGGCCACCCCATTTTAATAGATCTGGACACGCCACTGTGAGCAGTAGAAAAATGTATAATTTCAAATACAATTTAGATTATTTACTCATTAATTGTATAATTTTATATTGGCTTTTACATTTATGTCTTGAATAAATTAAATGAATTTATGGTTTGAGTGAAAATTAATATGATATATTAATACTTTTCTTTCCTGTGGGGGCACCAATTTTTAGGAAGGGCCACCCCTTGGGAGCACCACTGCACATGACACAAAAATGTCATTTTCATCTTGAAGAAATACAAATGTTTCAAATCTAAAGTGTAAATTAACGCTACATGACAAGTAAACAATGGAAATTATTAGTTTGAAACAGTTTCTTATAAAACCACCATTTTTTTACTAAGAAATCATAACATTTATAGTGAAGACCTACAGCACACAATAATAACTGATAATAACTTTTTGGTTTCATTGACTTTTGATGTGCTACTACTAGTTTATCCGTTTAATTATAGATCCACAAGGATAAATACAATAAAGTTTATCTTTCACCAAATAGAATATTTACTAAGACATCACAATATAACTATAGACACATCACGTGTGTGTGTGTGTGTGTGTGTGTGTGTGTGTGTGTGTGCGTGCGTGCGTGCGTGCGTGCGTGCGTGCGTGCGTGCGTGCGTGCCTGCTCTGTCTTCTCGATCCCCAGTGAGTCGTGGAGGATGGCTGCTTATACTGAGCCAGGATTCTCTCTGGAGGTTTCTTCCTGTTAAAAGGGAGTTCAATTCAATTCAATTCAATTCAAAAATACTTTATTAATCCCAGAGGGAAATTGATTGTTTTCCTCTCCACTGTCGCTTTATGCTTGATTGGTATGAGGATTGCTGTATAGTCACTGACACTAGTCAGTGACGATGCAATTTGCTGGGTTCCTCATATAGGAAACATTATTTCTGATTGGCTTAATGAACTGACCTGAATTGGAATTTTTATTATGTGAAGTGCCTTGAGACGACTCTTGTCGTGATTTGGCGCTATATAAATAAACTTGAACTTGAAACTTGAACTTGAATGGAGTTGATGTCTAGAAGTGAGTGGGCAGATTCAGAAATTTTCTCTAAGTTGGACCAATTGCTAGTGATTAAATCATTGTGGGGCTGCACAGCGGTGCAGTGGTTAGCACTGTTTCCTTGCAGAAATAAGGTCCTGGGTTCAAATTCCAACCTGGGTCTTTCTGCAAGGAGTTTGCATGTTCTTCCTGTGCGTGCGTGAGTTCCCTCCGGGTTTTCCAGCTTCCTCTCATGGTCCAGAAACATGACTGTCACGTTGACTGGTCTCTCTAACTTGTCCTTAGGTGTGTGTTTGGACGCACTTGGGTGTCACACGCACAGGAAGTCGTCCCCTTTCTCCCATTCTAACTGTTGAGTTCATCAGCTTTTCCCTGTGTACTACTGACTTCTTGTCTGGCTCCAGCCTCCACAACATCCTCCTCTGTCCCTGAGCATTAGGTGTCCTGCTTGCAGTGTGACATGCCCGGACTGAATATCCCCGTTTTGGTGGCTTCTTCGTTGTCATGGAGCTCCGTGGTAATTGGCTCATCGTCAGCCTGTCCAAGCTGTGCAGCCAGGGCCTTGTGGGTAAATGAGTGTCGGTGTCCGACCCTGAAAACCAACCGCCTCCTCCCTCCCTGAGCCACGGGGCACGGCGGCGGCCTGTCGGAACTCATCTGTTCTCGCCTCAATCCCCCTCCCCTCCGTGTGACAGCAGGCTAGGGAGGAAAAGGATGGATAGAAGGGGAAATGAGGAACATTTGCATCTAAATGGAATGTTTTCCTCCCTTCATTTCTCCCTTTCCATTTGTCCTGTAATGACTTGGTTACATGCAGATGGAGTTGTGAGGGGACGTCCCTCGGCTTCTTGCTGCTTTGGGGTTGAGCAGGAACTGACTCCGGTGTGTTATGTGCTGTTTTAAATTCCATTTCTTAAATCACAAACACCCACAGTGTTACGTTTTTATTCTTCCTCCCTATGGAGGAGAAAGTCTGCGTCTTTGCTTTCCGTACAGTGATGCAAAACCTCATCGCAGCAGGCAGCCTTTCACCTAAAAAAAGACTACAGAACATTTCAACACCTGTCATTCAAAGGTCATTTAGAATTATTTTATCACATAAATATAACACCAGCACAAATGCGCAGCTTGTCAGATGTTCCAAGTCTGAGTTAGTAGTTTTCAAGCAGAAAAAAGGTCGATCGCTGCGGTAAAGTTTGGATTTGGTCTGTTTTACATCGAGTGCGGTACGGACGCGGTCTGGTTTCCGAACAGCAGACTGTCATTCACACCGACTGCAGTTCCTGTGCTGAACTTCTCCAGACATTAGAAGATATACCTGTGAAAATAACGTAAACTATCATCCACAGCTGACTAATAATAAAACTAAAGATGGCAAAAAAATAAATTAAAAAAAAGCGACAGGTTTTATTTAGAAATAAACTGGATGTACTTTACTGAAACACGTCTCACTTCCTATCTGGCTCATGTCATTTTGTTTTTACTTCATGACGACCTGTGTGCAGTGTCCAGAAAAATAAATGTTATGCCGAAACTTTCCAGAGATCCACGTCCAGATCCACTCTGCACCATAACCGGTGTGGATGTTCCGACTGGACTCAATCATTTTTGATTAATGTGGAAGCCGTGCTGAAACCGGACCGCATCTGTTCCGCAGTCTAGTCTCCTGTGATCAGATGACTTCTGGTAACTTGGTGTCTTGTTCATAGGTGATGGAGCATGGATAAAACCTTTGTCTGGTCTGATTAGGATGGTCCAGTTTGTCGCAGGGAAAAAGGATCTGAGCTAAAAGGCAAATCCTCAGAGCTAAGAGAACTGGATCCAACATTAAAGAGACTAAAACAAACCTTTTCTGTTGGGGGGTTAGAATCAGACTTTGGTGGTGGAGGAGTCATGGTTTGGGCCTCCTTAGAGAGATGGATGGATGGATGGATGGATGGATGGATGGATGGATTAAAGACTAAGTTCCATAGTTGTTACTGTCATGAGCCGGGGTGAGTACTCCTCATTCTCCTTAACATCTTTGAGTCTCTTGCCAGGAGAGGGAGTGCCCAGGTGTTCCTGATCAGCAATCAGCGGGGTGGTTCCTACTTAAGGTGGATGGAGGACACAATTCAACGCCGGAAGATTGCCTCAGCTTGGCAGTACCCAGCCACTCGTGTCTACTCTAGGATCTCTAGGATAATATATATTCGTGAAGTGTTTTTGTTTTACTCTAGGGTTTTTGGAACCTTTTGGAATTTTTACTAAATCCTCCAGGAGCTGACTCAGGATTCTTTGTCTCCTTCAGGATTCCAGTTTTTGCCTCTGGCCACTGCGCTCTAGGATACTCACCTCAGGACTCCAGGATTTGGATGCTCAGACCCGCCTGGACCTACTCACCGTTCTCCATAAACACGTTCTCTCCCTAAATAAACTATTTTATTTTTTACCCCCATCCTTGGTCTGTGTTGTGTTCTGCATGTCTCGGGTTAGGCGCCTTCCCCCAAACATGACAGTGACACACACAGGTGTGGTGAAAATTGTCCTTTGCATTTGACCCATCCCAGTGGGGAGTAGTGAGCTGCAGCAGTGGTTGCGCTCGGGAACTATTTGGTGGTTTAACCACCCAATCTAACACCTAAAGCTGAGTGTAAAGTAGGGAGGCTTTGGGTCCAACTTTTATAAAGCCTTTGGCATGACTCGACTGGGATTTGAACTCCCATTCCCAGGGCGGACACTCTACCACTAGGTCACTGAGCTGGATGAAAAGTTGGATGGATGGATGCTGGATGGATAAAGGGTTGGATGGATGGGTAAATGCGTCCACAGTTGAATCTGACAAGGCAAAGCTTGGTAGCTTTCGGTCCTGTACCTCAGCAATGTTTTATATCCCCAGAACTGTCTGGACAGAAATCCTTTAAAGCCTCCTTCTCCTCTGAGATCTCCACCACCATTATGAGGTGTAGCATCACTAAATTATTTACCAGTGTTTAATAATTCAGTATGAAAATGCTCATTGACAGATGAATCCATTTCTTTTTAATCAATCACATCTGTTGTATTAATGTATTGCACCACTGTGATTAATCAGTGTCTCCATTTTGTTTCAGTGGGAGTCAGTGGTTGGCACAAATACCAGGGTGCAATTCAAGCCTGAACATTTATTTTACTTCCAAACTGAACACGATGACCCAACAGTTCTTTTCAGCTTTGTGGAAGGTTACAGCTTCTTGCTTTGGTACAAAGGTCCAGTTTCATCATGATGCTGCTCCATCGTTGCCTCCGAGTTAAAGGAACAAATCCTTGGTCAGTAGAGGAGAATAACAGCTTCAGGCGCTAAGCGGATAAATGAGACCACAATTCTCCGGACATTACATGAATCTTCTAAAACAGCCATCTATTCTAGCTTGAATTTTTTAAATAACTACATCCACACCTTTAAACATTTAAGAAAGGTTTCAGCTGTTTATTTATCTAAACGATTCTGTCTTTAACTCACATCTGAACCACTAGATTACTAAGCAAGATGGTTTAATCATCGCCGTCATCTTCTTCATCTGTGTCTGGATTTTCATCGCTCTCCTCGAGGATGTAGTGGTCATTTTCTGGGTCATCGGCAAACTCGTCGTCATCTTCTGTGTTCACTCTCCCCGACAAGACATCCTCGATCCAGTCCTCCAGGTCCTCCGCCGTGGGCAGGTCCTCGTCATTTGACATGTCCAACCAAACACTGTCAGCCTGTAACACAGCGCCATGAAAGAAAACGTTCTAAGATCAGCTACCTGAGGATAATCCACTCCGTGATCCTCACTTACATCAGTGACATTGACCACACCTATCTGTGGTCTAAACAGGTCCACCTTGAAGGTTTTCTCCCAGTAAGTGGTCAACTGTGGGGAAAAGACAAGACTCTCATGTAAAAAGGTCTTCTTGTGAAACATAAAGACTGTTCTGGTGTGTGGAATCATAAGAGAAGGTGAGGCAGAACCAAGGGGAAGTCGTCAGGATCGATCCAGACGATGCTGAGATATGGGTTGTTGGTGTTGTCTCTGGCAACATCTTTCAGGATCTCCAGAAACTCGTACCCATCTGCATAAAACCGAGAAGAACCATCTCATCTGGGCTCAAGCCAAAACTGGTCAAAACATCTCAAACAACAGAAAGTTAAGTTTTGAAAATCCAGACCTGGATCTTCTTCCTCAGCAAAGGCAACAATGTGTATTCCATCCATATCGTCCTCCTAGAGATCAAAAACAGACGTATTTATGCTGCAGAAGAACTTTGAATGAACGATCTTTTTTTTTTTTTTTTTTTTTTTTTTGCATCAGATGTTTTTTATCTGCTTCCAAAGGAAATGACTTACCCAAACCTCGAACATGTTCTCAGCCCGGAGTTTCCTCAGTGTAGCCCTGTAACCATCACTGTGTCGGTAACTTCCATTTAAATGAATGTTCTAGTAAATCTAAGGTCCCATTAATAAGTCAGCCTAACCTCCTGTGTTGGTGGACAAACTCGACAATGTCCATCTCTGTCAATGGTCTTCCTGGCAGAATGGCTGGCTCCTCCATGAACGGCTCGTAAAAGTTTACTTCATTCATCTTTAGGGAAAGATGTTTCGCCACCTATAACCATGTGACAACGCAATCCCTATCACTGGATGTCATTCTAATTCATTATTGTTTCATTAAAACTAATATCAAGCGTAGCACCCTTTACCGTTGCCATGCCTACTGGAGTGCATTATACTCTCTTAGCACTCCTGAGTCTCTAAATATTTTCTCATTCAGCATGCTTACGCAACTGAAGCCGCTTCCAAAAGACACACTGTGGCAGCATATCAGGTACCACTGCCGCCATGGTGTATCTTTTAAATGCACGGTGGCGGCATGACGAGGCGGGAATATAACGCTTGTTAGTAATATTACCAAAATTCTGACAGAAGATCACTTTTTCGCCCAACAGAGGGTGATGCTGTGATCACCGGTGGAATGTCCGCCAAGCCCCAGCCGGCAAGCTGAGATGGCAAACTGGAGTGATGCAGTGATGTTGGAGCTGAAGTACTAATCACCATGACAGTTTATGGGGAGTTTGAAGGATGGTCACCTTTTGGAGCAGCTTATGAAAATAACCTAAGAAGCGTGACTTCAATCAAGATAAAAAAAAACAAGTTACGTTCAAGCTAAAAAGGCAATTGGAAAAACGCGTCAACAGAGTGAAGACCACCCCCTTCGTGCCACCATTGCGACATCTTTGTTGAAAAACACAATCGCGCCACCACAGGCTGACTACTTATGAACTTTCCGGAACTGCGCTGCTCTGGGTGGCTGCATGTTGGAGTAGCTCTGTTGACTATATGTAAGTTTAGCCTTTTTTTGGACATTTTTTCTTCTAGTTTCTCAAGAAAAACTGTATTTTTTTGGCATTTTACTTTTCTGTTTCTGGTGCTGTGAAGCTTGGAGGATTTTTACCGCAATTTTTTCACTTTTTGAGCATTTGTTATGATGCGTAACCATGGTAACAAGCTGGTTTACAATCGGGAGCAGCTGATGAACATTGGGAAGGCTGAAATAATACCTCAACTGAAGCCACAAATCCCAAAAGAGCTAAAACGCAAGAAGCGTGGATGCAGAGCGTGAGCAAAATGGAGACAGAGAAAGAGGAAATTCAACCCATCTCTTCCATCGATCATAATGGGCAATGATAAATCAGGTGCTGGTCAGCATCAGAAGCAGGGACCTGAAAAGGCTCAACAGCCTAACAAAAAAGACTGGTTCTGTTCTGGGGACGACTGTGGAACCAATGGTGGAGATAATGCAAAGAAGGATTCTCCAGAGAATCAAGAAATTTATGGACAACTCTGAGCATTCTCTTCACAAGACTGTCCGACAACGGAAGAGTGTCTTCAGTCAGAGGATTCTTCAGTTTCGCTGCAACACTGACCGCTACTGGCGATCCTTCCTGCCAACAGCCATTGTAATATACAACAACTCTTTGATGACTTGATTATTATAATCATTCTGAGCTACTACAGCAATCAATTTCCCTCTGGGATTAATGAAGTATTTTTGAATTGAATTGAATTTAATTGAATTGAATTGAATTGAATTGAATTGAATCGAATGACCAAAGGCTCCCTGATGCTGCCTCTGTTTTGTGGCAAAGTGGCACGGTTGATTTTTGAAAAAGGCTTCAGGATAACTATTCACATTTCATAAGAGCAAGTAAGCCTGATTTATACTGTGTTGTGACGGAGACACGACAAGCCATGCATTGAGGCAAGGGCTCTATGGCAGGCCCACAGAGGGTGATGGAGACAGTAGAAAGTGACAAAAACCACAAGTCTGTGATCAGTCAGGACACTGATTCCTTTAAAATCGCTAACAGCACTGCCATTTCCCCATCAAAAAGATAAGTGCTGAAGATATCTAGCAGCAGAGCTTAACGGAGAGCGTCTGGCAGAAAAAAGTCTGAAGATATGAACGTTTATACACCCAAAGATATGCAGCAAACTTTCAATTTGTGATAGTCTTGACAGGAAACGTGGGTTTGGAAGTGACGACTGCTTGAAGAGGTGGAGGAAAATGAGGGACAAATGTGTCTGTGTTAAAAAGACTGAAATACATAAACACAACATAAACACAAATAAACGATAGAGAACACACTATCGTGGACTAGAGATGTGACTGCAGTGGTGGCAGCAGCCCTCCCCCCCAAGAAAAGCACTACACCCTCTATTGTCCAGGTGGGGAACACTCCCCAGTCATCAGACAAGTCCCAAAGGAAAGGTCTTCATCATTGTGTGCATCCGACTTCGCATTCCAGCTGACGGAGAAGTCTAAATAGTTAAAATAAAATAGCTTCCCGTTTGCAGTTCACTCCTGCGTTTCTGGGTCCTAGCGTCAATCCTTACACTTAATAAATCCTTTATGAGGATTTTTGCTGTGACTTTTACATGTGTAGCTCTTAGCAGCATTTATTAGCTTAACGTAGAGCGATGTTATGTTGCTACTGTCTTAAAACAAGGCTAAGCTAACCTTTTACGCAAATGTTAGCTAATATTTGGCTAGTAGCCTGCAATAAAACTAGGCCTATCTTTGGCCTAACATTGAGGAAAATTGGCAAACATTTGTCATGAACTCCGTTTGTTTGAAAATGTACATTTGAAATGATGCTATTGCACATAGCCTACATTTGTTAGTTACTTTAGCATGACTAGTTATTTTCCGAGATCCTAGAATTTATTTTTCCAGCATCTCAAAAATCCCTTATTTTCTATTGCTTTCCGTATAATTTTAAAGGTTCGGACAAGTCCTGATAAATTAGCAAAAAAAAGCTCTGTTTCTCATTCTAAATTGTATTCAACACCCATTTCTGCCTGTGACACAATGTTAAAAAGGTTCATTTTAAAAAAACGTCGTAAAAACCCTTGGAAGGAACTTGTCCTTTTTGCAGGATTCATTCATGTTTGTGTTTCCTAATCTCACTTTTAAATGATTTTAGGCAAAATTCAGATTTATAAAAAAAATATAAAAAATGATCCAAATGAGTGAAAAGTAACAACTCTTTTGGTATGAACCGGTTGGTGAAAGATGTCAAGTCACAAAATAAAAACTAAAATCGAATCTGAAGAGTCTTACGCATGTTTATACTTACTGACTTATCAAATGTAGCAAAAAACTTGATGTAGGGTTGAAATCTCTCCGAGGCCTCCTGAAAAGCTTGGAAGTCTGAGAATGCAAGCGACAGAGAGAAGGATGGGAATCTGAAGAGGAAACGATAGAAACTAAACACACAGTAAAGCGAAAGTTCAATATTCTGGTCACATTCTGGTTTATGGTGTATGATGAGAAAAGCTGGCTGTAAAATTCATTATCTTCATTCAATTTCCCAGGATCACGGATCCACGAGTGACCAACAGATGTGGAAAGAGTACTAAAATTTCTTACCTAAGTACGAGTACCAATATTTTGATCATCTTTTACTCAAGTACAAGTAAAAGTACTTGCCTAAATTTTTACTCACGTAAAAGTAAAAAGTATCGTAAATAAAATGTACTCAAAGTAAAAGTTACTTGGTTACATTTTTGTCAGCATAAGGATGGCTACATCTAAGTAGTGCAAAATCACAACGCCAGTTCACAATTCACTCGTGTGTGCACACACACACACACACACACACACACACACGTCATGACTAATGTAACTACATTGAACTGCTTTTGTAATACTTTAATCTCTTATTCTGGAGTCAAATTAGGAAACAAGCTAAATCATTGCATATCTGTGGCATCAAGGAGCATCTTCTGAGTTCAAACAGGGATGGAGCACAATGTTTACACCTGAACAGCATCAGGATGTTTTAACTCTCAGAGGCCTGCAGGTCTTCTGTTTTATGAGCAAAGCGCTGAGAATCCGCTTGTTATGGGCGCTAAACGTTATTTTGCTGCTGCCGTGCAGAGCGGTAGAGAAACACATGTCAAGAATTCTGATGATGTCACACCGGTGCGTGAAGGTACGGGTTCCAACCCACAGGAGAGGAGGGAGAGAGGAGGTAAACAGCGAGTGGATCACAGGGACTGAACTGATGTTTTTGAGCAAAGCTGCGGTAAAACTGGCTGTTTGTCCTCATTATCCAAAGTGTACCCCCCCACCCACCCCCACCCCACCCCCACCCACCCAACGGTTTAGACGCGGCGCTCATGCAGGTGTCTCTTTCTGTTCCAACACTGCTACACGCAGTATTTTTAATTTATTAAGCCTAAAATGTACTTTTACTCAGAAACGGAAATTATTTAAAATGTAGCGAATTACAATTCTTTTTTTTAAAACGTTCTCAAGTAAAGGTAAAAGTACAGATTTTAAAAATGACTTAAAAAGTATAAATACACATAAAAGCTACTCAGTTACAGTAACGTGAGTAAATGTAATTTGTTACTTTCCACCTCTGGTGACCAAGACTCCCTTAATACACTTTTATACGTTTGTAAAGAGCTCCTGGCTCTGCTCCCAACAAGGTCACCACCAAGGACCAGCCTACTGGACTCAGATGATGTCATAATGAAATTTTGTGCCGCCGTCATACCAAATCAGATAGCTTCTTCCGTGCTGTACTTTATCCTCTTTTCTTTAGCTTTTTATAGTTCACTAAGAATAACTATAATTGCAGTTTGACCCATTACATGGAGCGCCGGAGGCTATTTAAAGTGTCTCGTGAGACGGAGTGAAAGTGGAATGAGGTTTCTGTTCACCAGACATTGGTGGTGATGTAACATCATCTCAGGAGGAAGATTTAGGAGTGGGGTTTTAACCCAACATTCATTTGTGTGTGTGAGAGAAGGAGTTGGAAACACCAACATGAGTCTTCCCCTTTGAAGTAGCCGATGAGGCGGATGTCTTCCTCCATCCTCTCAAAGGCTCTCAGCTCCATGGCGTTGTTGATTATTTCCACCGGGTCCTCCAGCACCTAAAAGTGAATTTGCATGTTTCATTTTCAGTGAACTAAAGTTGTCTCTTTGCACATTAGAGCTGCTTGGAGGCAAAAGTAAAGAGGAAGTGTTGAGATTAAAGTAAACTTTTAAAGGCAAAAAGTGCAAAATTTTTAGGATTTTTGCTCTAAAATAAAAAATAAACTAAAAATACCCACAATGTCTTGCGTTAAATTAACTATGGTAACGTTTTAGGTTTTATTTTTTATGTGAAAGACTCTTATTCTGAAGGATCAACGGAAGCTCTTATAGTTTCACAATGCTGCAAAAGCAAAAACAGCACATCTTATTAATAACTTATTTTTTCTTACAGCTACCTCTTTACTTTTTAATTAGCTGTTTGCTAGCTTGCTAACAGCTAGTAGCTGCTTTACTATCAATATGGCTCTTTTAAATGTTCGCTCTCTGCTGAACAAAACTTTTATTATAAATGACCTCATTTTAGATAATCATCTTAAATGTGTATTTTTGACAGAAACATGGCTGAGTTCAGATGCTCCTGCTGTTCTCACAGAGGCCTCCCCACCAAACTTTAATTTTACTTATTCAATAAGAAACGGAAAAAAGGGAGGCGGAACTGCTTTTATAAGCTCATCTACACTTTCCGCAAAACATGTTTTATTTGATAACTACACCACATTCGAATATTGTGCAGCCATTTTCAGCGATCTTCAGATTTTGTGTGTTACTCTTTATAGGCCTCCGAGGCACAGTGCACTTTTTATACAGGAATTTTCCGAGTTTTTATCAATTCTGCACAACTCTTTTGATAGTATTATTTTAGCTGGTGATTTTAATTTACACATAGATGACCCTGCAGACCCTTTTACCACTGAATTTTTAAACATTTTGAGTTATATGGATTTTACACAACATGTTGCACAACCAACCCACGACAGAGGACACACCCTGGACTTGGTCATCACATATGGTCTGTCCACCGGTGTGTCCTCTGTCGTGGATTTAGCGATCTCAGATCATTTCTGTGTGTTTTTTAGCATTACCAGCATAATTCAGCAGGAGACCTCTGTGAGAACTGTAATGAAACGCCATCTAACCCCTGAAGTGGCTGCTGGTTTTCTGGAAACTTTTAAAAAGATCCCTCCTATTAATTTAAATGCCCCCTGTGATTTTATCTTCAATGATTTTAACAGCAGACTTAAATCTACTCTGGATCTGCTCGCTCCACCTAAAATTAAAAAGCTACAGCCAAAACCGGCTTCCCCTTGGAGCAATGAAAACTTGAAAATGTTGAAAAGATCTTGCAGGGCGGCGGAGAGAAAATGGAGGAAATATGAGAACACAATTAATAAACAAATATACAAGGAATTATTAAAATCATACAACAAAGCTGTTAGAAATTCCAGAAATAATTACTTTTCTAAAATCATCTCGGAACACAAAAATAATCCCAAAATTCTGTTTTCTACAGTCACAAATATTTTGGGTCGTGAATTTAGTTCTCTCCAGAAAACCCCCTCGGACTCTCTCTGTGAGGAGTTTGCAGCCCACTTCAGAGGGAAGGTAGACACCATCAGACGTAACATTTTTTCCACCCAATGTCATGCTGCTCCCGATCAATCTGAGAGTGTGTGTCTACCTGAGGAAACACTGGACAGTTTTGTCTTGGTTGAAGTTGAGACTATTGATAAAGTTTTCTCCTCAGTGAGGCCTACCACATGTGTTCTGGACCCTATCCCCACAAGGTTTTTTAAACAATTTTATGACTCATTTAGAGATGAGATTTTAACTTTGATGAACTGTTCCCTTCAGACGGGGGTCTTTCCTGCTGCTTTTAAACGGGCGGTGGTCAGACCCCTGTTGAAGAAGAGCAATTTAGATTTTAATGACTTTAACAATTTCCGACCGGTATCCAACTTACCATTTTTAAGCAAAATTTTAGAGAAGCTTGTTTTAATACAACTTAATGATTTTATCAACCACCAACATGTCCTAGAGAAATTTCAGTCTGGTTTTAGGGTGAACCACAGCACTGAGACAGCCCTTCTGAAGATTTTAAATGATTTTAGAACAAATTATGATGCTCGGAGGGCAACAGTGTTGGTTCTGCTGGATCTAAGTGCTGCCTTTGATACAGTAGACCACACTATTCTTTTAACCCGTTTAAAACAGATCGGCCTCTCTGGTGCTGTTCACAGTTGGTTTACTTCCTACCTCACAGACAGGACTTTTATGGTGAGTCTGGATACCTGTTCCTCTGGGGTCCACAGCATCACATGCGGGGTGCCTCAGGGATCAATTCTAGGCCCAGTACTTTTTAACCTCTATATGCTCCCTCTGGGCAGCGTCATCAGGAGACATGGGGTGAATTTCCACAGTTACGCTGATGATACACAGTTGTACATCTCCGTGTCTCCTGATGACTCTCAGCCAATGGAAACACTTTTTAATTGCATTTTAGATATTAAATCATGGATGACTGAAAACTTTCTCCAGCTCAACCAAGGCAAAACTGAAGTTTTAGTCATCGGTCCTGAGGCCCAGAGAGAGAAACTTTTACCTAAACTACAATCAATGTCTTTTTATCCATCACTACAAGTGAAGAATCTGGGTGTTATTTTCGACTCTGAGCTGACTTTTATCCCCCACATTAAAAACATCACAAAAATAGGTTTTTACCATCTTAAGAATATCGCCAGAGTCCGCCCCATTCTCTCTCGGGCCAATACGGAGACGCTAGTGCATGCTTTTGTAACCAGTAGAATTGATTACTGCAATGCCCTGCTTTCTGGTCTTCCCAAAAAGAGCATCTCAGGTTTACAACTCTTACAAAACTCAGCAGCACGTGTCCTGATGAAGACCAGGAAGCGGGAGCACATCACTCCGGTTTTAAAATCACTGCACTGGCTCCCCGTATGTTTCAGGATTGATTTTAAGGTTCTTTTAATGGTTTTTAAGTGTCTTAATGGTCTTGGGCCTTCTTATCTTTCAGAACTGCTTTTACTGTATAAACCCTCGCGGTCTCTGCGCTCCTCTGGCAGCCGTCTCCTAGTTATCCCTAAAGTTAAGACTCACACCCACGGCGAGGCGTCCTTCAAGTACTACGGCCCTCGCCTTTGGAACGGGCTGCCGGAGGACCTCAGGTCCGAAGGGAACATCCAGGCTTTTAAGAATAGGCTCAAGACCCACCTTTTTAGCTTAGCTTTTAACTGATTACTATTTATCTATAAATACATATTTATCTCTCTTATTATTTTTATCATTTTATATACATCTTAGTGTTTTTATATGATTATGTTTTCTTTTACTATCTTTATAATCACTTTTTATCAGTTACTTTTTATCATTATTAGCTTTTATTATTTTATATGTTATATATCTTAAATCCTCCAGTGTTTCCTCTGCGGAGCCCTCTGCCTTGGGGCCGGTGGTCAGGGGCGGCGGCGGCCGGGGCGCTCCCCAGGTAGTGCCCGGGCACTGGTGGGGGTTTCTGCCCTACGCCTCTGGGCGTCATGGGCCGGTGTCTTGGCTGCTGCCGTGGATCTGTTGCTGCCAAGGCAGATGGCTCCGCTGATGATGTGTCGTTCATTACCTGACCCATCTGAACTCAGCCTATTGTTTCCTCTGGTGTTCACGAGTGTGTGTGTGTGTGTGTGCGTGTGTGTGTGTGTGTGTGTGTGCGGGTGATTGTATGTCCACTTTGGAAGTTGGGTGCGGGAGGGGAACTGTAATTTTTAATTGTTTTATACTTGGGGAGGGGGGCTGGGATGGGAATGTGGGATCTATGGGGCCATTTTAATCTGTAAAGCACTTTGAGTTGCATTTTTTGTATGAAAAGTGCTATATAAATAAAGTTGATTTGATTTGATTTGATAGCTGTTCTACATAGTCTCTTCAGCTGTTCATAGATTGTTTTTGTGACATAAATGTTAGGACTGTTTTATGTGTTTAAAAACTAAAAAAGAGTGGAGACTGTACTTTAAGATGGACATAAAGTAGAACCTATTTTGACAAGCTAGCATGTCGTACTTATCTTACTTTACTCAAAAATAATCCAGGAGTTTTAAGGAGATTTTTAACTTAATTAAAGATGCAAACATTTTTACTTAACAGATATTCCACCCCTAAGGGGAAATGAGTCTGTTGTCCTATTCCCCAGAGTTAGAAAAGTGCAAAAAGGCATTTGTAACCAGCGTAGTCATCATTCCCCTAATTCTGTATGCTTTAGCTTAGCATAAACAAATGAATGGTAACAGCTAGCATTTAGTGTAAAAAAAAAGTCATAAAATTTCTCAATATCTATCCCAATTTTTCTTGGTGACATCGGTATCGAAAGAAAATCAAAATAATAAGTAACACGAAGATATTGCAGGAGTCCATTTAGAATTAGAACTACATGAAGACATTGCACCGCCAAAAGCCTCTGTGTAATGCCGGGCGTACACTGCGACTTTTTCACTTTTTTGAGCCGATTTTCTACTCATGCGAGAATCCACAAGATCGGGGCGAGTTTTGCGCTGAGCGTCGTGTAGTGTACGGGGGGTTACGAGAGGCGATTAACACCACGCGACCAGCTACCGATCAGCAGTCGTGAGCTCGCACGGACTTCTGGCGTGTTTAATATTTTGCTCGTCCCTCGTGAGGGTATCGCACTGTTGAAGTGGTGCTGCGAGCAGCTGCGACCCAAAAAGTACCAGAACCACTCACGGCACATGCGCAATCCTGCATCAACGCCGCTCACCTGCTATTTCCCTAATAACACACGTCGTTGGTTTTATTTCTACACATTTTTTTACTCACAAGGATTGTCAACAAAGCGTGTTTGTCGTGTTCATGTCAAACTAAACTGATCACAAAACACAGATTTACTTTCTTTATTTCGTTTTCCTCATCCAACCCCATAAATCCCTGTGTGTCCCCCTGCAGCACTCCCGAAGGACAACAGGCGAAACAAAAAAGTCTGACGTGTTGTGTAAAAACTGCTATTTGTAGCATATTTTTAGGTCCGACGTGTTGCTACCAGACGTACAGTGTGAGCAGTCGGGTCGCATCCGAGGACTGGGTCGTACAGTGTGAGCACACGACTCGTGAGATCTGCCCTGCGAGGAAGTCGTACAGTTTGAGCTGAAGCTGAGTGCTACGAGTGAAAAAGTCGCACAGTGTACGCCCGGCTTAAGGCACAAGGACTTGACACCGCAGCCCCAAAAGATACATCATCTGCCATGTACTCTGGCATATTTAGTGCAAATTGTCATGCTAAAACTGTTCCTGGTATAGGCCTAGTAGCCATGCATATGTATTTACAGAAGTAGGTATCTGATTTTAAGTACAATTGTACGTCGCTTTGCATAAAAGCATCTGCCAAAAAAAAAACAATAAACATATGTAATTGAAATGCTAGCTGTTACCATTCACTTACATTGTTAATGCTAAGCTAAAGCAAACAGAATAATCCCAGACCAGGAAAATGACTGGGCTGGTAGCAAAATGATTTTCCCCACTTTTCTAACTCTAGGGGAAATAGCATCACTTTGGGGTGGAATATACTTTAAAGTAGGGCGGCACAATATTAGGAAAACTATATGCGATAACTGTGTCTAATATTGCGATGACGATTTTACTCAGGAACAAAAATAATCAAAAACAAAGAAATTTAAAAAAATGAAAATATCATAAAAAAGAGAAAAGCAAAAGATGTGAGGAAAGGGAAAAAGAAAATGAACAAGAAAAGGCAATCAGTGGATCCCGGCAAAAGCTGAATCAGCAGAAAGAGCAGAACAAAGCTAACTCAGGTGTTTGCTAACCATTAAATTAAGGGCCGACCGCCTCGGGGTGCGAGCATCTAACCTATGAGAACCCACCCAGTTGGCCAAATGGGTGAAGAGCTCTGTTTGATTTGTTTAAAATAAGCATCGTGCTTCCGTTTGATTGACAGAATGCATTATGTGTAGCAAACATTTGAGCCGACCATTCATTCCGATATTTATCTGTTGTTTGCGATATGCATATTGTGCATGCTGATACTGCGATAACGATATATTTGTGATATATTGTGCAGCCCTACTTTAAAGATGTTTTTGGTCAACAAAAAGCGGGAATTTTGTTCCTTACATCCAAAAGAAATTCCACCAGCGTGTCTGATGAGAGCTCCCCGTCAAACTCAATGATCCGGTCGTCCTTAAACACGTACAAGCTGCCCACCTCTTCCAAACCTGGCCAGACAACAGCAACGCTCCCTGTTAGACCTCACTGATCGACTGGAAACATTTTAAATGGTCAAAAAACAGCAACATTTGTCTCATGAAAGAACAAACCAAGTTTCTGTGCTACTTTGGCGTCCCTCTGGGCGTCCACCATCCCAAAACCAATGTCTTTGTTCTCCAGGACTTGAGCTGTGAGCTGGGGGGTTCACAACAAATAAATCAACATACTAACAATTTTACATGTCAGAAATGGGTTTTTCTGCAGTTTAAAACAAAAATCTGTAAAAGCTGTGGGTCAGATTACGAGTTTTACCAGAAGGGGGAAGCTTACTTTATGTACCTCACTTATACTATTTAAAAATCTCAAGAGAACTCAGAATGTTGCCAAGAGTGGATAAAAATGCTAAGATGCAGGGCCATGAAGTGAAAGTAATTTTGAACAGTTTTGAGAACACGCTATAATTACCAGAATGACCCAGAAACAGTCCCTGGATAGAGGACATCATGGGATCAAAACCAGTGTGTGCAGGTAGATCAGTCAGTGAGAGTCTTCATCTTAAACACTTAGAGGATGAGTATGGTTTCTGCATCTGACAGAATTGAATCTGTTCCAGCTCATTCTGTCTCCACATCTCTGATCTGAGATGAGTGATGGCATGTTGCCGGCAGGTTTAAGTGGAAATGTAGCAGGAGAGTTAAGGGTACGAATCATGGAGCACCCTGTGCATTTGGCCGGTTTTCCCGTAAAGAACACCAGCCATGGTCTAGATGTTTGCTCTAACCTGACATCTCTGAGTTCTCACCTCCAGCACCAGCTCAGTCATCTGGAAGCGCTTCTGCAGACCCTTACTGGCTGGCACGGGTTCGTGGTAGAACAGGCACAGCAGGTCGTACCTCCTCAGGGCCTTCTTGTAGTTGCGCTCGTTGATGTCCAGGACCCTGTCCTTCCCGTCAAAGTTAGGGAACTCCAGACCTTCCTCTGCTCTGCTGAGGAGCACCAAACTGAGGCTGAGGCCAGACAGAAGGTAGAGCCAGGTGCGCTGCATCGTTGCTCCGCTGTGGAGGAGTTTGTGCACAATTAAAAATAAAATTGTGCAAGTCCAAACTTTTAACACAGACAGTGATGAAAGACTTCCACAGACGTGATCTCTGTTCTCAAGTTCCACAACTTTTTCTGCTTCTTCACATCTCTCCCTCTCCTCTCGTCCTCAATCTCCTCCTCTCGCATCATCCAAATATCAGGAGGGTTTTACTCCTCCTCCCTCAAACTCAAAGGAGGACATTTAGAAGAATATTCATTCAGCAGACGTTCCAAATCGAGAAATTAAAAAATGTCACTGTTTATAAAGATTATGTTGCTATGGGGAGATGTAGTTACAAATATTACCTTTTGAAAAAAATGCATGCCTGTGATTTCCATGCATTTCCTATATATATATATATATATATATATATATATATATATATATATATATATATATATATATATATATATATACAGGTGCTGGCCAGTAAATTAGAATATCATCAAAAGGTTGAAAATATTTCAGTAATTCCATTCAAAACGTGAAACTTGTACATTATATTCATGCAATGCACACAGACCAATGTATTTCCGATGTTTATTACGTTTAATTTTGATATTTATAGGTGACAACCAATGAAAACATCAAATCTGGTATCTCAGAAAATTAGAATATTCTAAAGGCCAATGAAAAAATGTTTGTTTCTCTAATGTTGGCCAACTGAAAAGAATGAACATGAAAAGAATGTGCATGTATAGCACTCAATACTTAGTCGGGGCTCCTTTTGCCTCAATAACTGCAGTAATGCGGCGTGGCATGGACTCGATCAGTCTGTGGCACTGCTCAGGTGTTATGAGAGCCCAGGTTGCTCTGATAGTCGTCTTCAGCTCCTCTGCATTGTTGGGTCTAGCGTATTGCATCCTCCGCTTCACAATACCCCATAGATTTTCTATGGGGTTAAGGTCAGGCGAGTTTGCTGGCCAATCAAGGACAGGGATACCATGGTCCTTGAACCAGGTGCTGGTGGTTTTGGCACTGTGTGCAGGTGCCAAGTCCTGTTGAAAGGTGAAGTCTGCATCCCCATAAAGTTGGTCAGCAGCAGGAAGCATGAAGTGCTCTAAAACTTCCTGGTAGACGGCTGCATTGACCCTGGACCTCAGGAAACAGAGTGGGCCAACACCGGTGGATGACATGGCACCCCACACCATCACTGACGGTGGAAACTTTACACTGGACCTCATGCAACGTGGATTCTGTGCTTCTCCGCTCTTCCTCCAGACTCTGGGTCCTTGATTTCCAAAGGAAATGCAGAACTTGCTTTCATCAGAAAACATAACTTTGGACCACTCAGCATCAGTCCAGTCCTTTTTGTCCTTGGCCCAGGCGAGACGCTTCTTGCGCTGTTTCTTGTTCAAGAGTGGCTTGACACACGGAATGCGACACCTGAATCCCATGTCTTTCATGAGTCTCCTCGTGGTGGTTCTTGAAGCGCTGACTCCAGCTGCAGTCCACTCTTTGTGGATCTCCCCCACATTTTTGAATGGGTTTGTCGTCACAATTCTCTGCAGGGTGCGGTTATCCCTAGAGCTTGTACACTTTTTTCTACCACATTTTTTCCGTCCCTTCGCCTGTCTGTTAATGTGCTTGGACACAGAGCTCTGCGAACAGCCAGCTTCTTTAGCAATCACCTTTTGTGTCTTGCCCTCCTTGTGCAAGGTGTCAATGATTGTCTTTTGGACAGCTGTTAAGTCAGAAGTCTTCCCCATGATTGTGGTGCCTTCAAAACAAGACTGAGGGACCTTTTAAAGGCCTTTGCAGGTGTTTTGAGTAAATCAGCTGATTAGAGTGGCAGCAGGTGTCTTCTATATTCAGCCTTTTCAGAATATTCTAATTTTTTGAGATACCAAATTTGGAGTTTTCATTAGTTGTCAATTATGAATATCAAATTTAAATGTAATGAACATTGGAAATACATTGGTCTGTGTGCATTGCATGAATATAATGTACAAGTTTCACGTTTTGAATGGAATTACTGAAATATTTTCAACCTTTTGATGATATTCTAATTTACTGGCCAGCACCTGTATATATATATATATATATAGGAAATGCATGGAAATCACAGGCATATATATATATATATATATATATATATATATATATATATATATATATATATATATATATATATATGGCTGTGCAGTGGTTAGAGCTGTTGCCTTGCAGCAAATAGGTCCTGGGTTTGCTTTTGCATGGTCTCCCTGTGCATACGTGGGTTCTCTCCGGGTCCTCCGGCTTCCTCCCACAGTCCAAAAACATGACTGTTAGGTTGATTGGTCTGTCTAAATTGTCTTTAGGTGTGAGTGTGTGTGTGCGTGATTGTTTATCCTGAGTGTCTCTGTGCTGCCCTGCGATGGACTGGCTCTCTGTCCAGGGTGTACCCCGCCTGATTGCCCATCAGTCCCCCCCCCCCCCCCCCCCCCCCCCCACACACACACACACATAATAGTGATGTTATTAATGGTGGTGATAGTGATTAACATTTTCTTCCAACGTCCACATACTTTTCTTTCTTTTATAATTTAGCTATTCTGATGTAGCTTTAGTTTATCACACATTATTGTCAAATAAGGTAAATTTGTCTATTTGTAAATATTTTTCACATATACATTGTACTTTATACAGTTTGCATTCGTTTTCTTTTTATATACCGCTGCTGTTACACCTACGTTGTTGCACTGAAGGACATTACATAAATTTTCTGTTCAAATTTTCTTGCTTCAGTAAGATAAAATGACTGAAGTAATGCTTAGTGACTCAAGAATAAATTGATATTTTAGTACACGTTTTCTTTTTTAAGCCAAAAACAGAGAATAAAACTTGCCCTCTTGTAAGCGCCCCGTGATAAAATGGTCCTTTTGGTGCGCATTACCGTAATAACCAAATTCAGACAGAATTAACAGATAACCGATCGCTGCTTTGTTCTCAGACAAAGTTAAAGGATAAAGGCAAACATGGAGCGTAGCTGTTTGTGGAGTTCTTTATTATTTCTGCAAGTTTGTTGTTTCACTTCGGTCGGTGTATCAGGTACTAATTTAGCTTTAAAGATCTTGGTTTTAAAATACCTTAAATGCAAGCATTACATTTTGTTTGGACTCTTCGAGGTAACTCGATAGAAATGAATCAGTTAGCAGCTAGCTGCTGTAAGCTAACCCCTTTAAAGTGACCACGTTTGGTAAAGTTAGCGGCTAAATTACATTAATGTGGTGTTTTCCCCTAAAGACTGAGAGAGAATTACAAATGCGTCTGATAACTAATAAAAACCAATGCCGTGCCAGTGTCTGACCGCTTCAAATATGTACTTACTGTATTGAAACGAGCATTTGTGGGCTAAAGTTTACTCAGTTTGATTCATTTGTTTTCCACAACTCATAAAACGAACAACTAGACATCTGCTGAGATAAATCTAGTTTATACAGATAGTTTGAGGAAGCTGAAATATAGATTGTACTAGTTTCAGATTTTGTCACCCATTATAAATTGAGATACTCATGTTTTTATTTTATATTTGGGCATAAAACTTAATTTTGGGAACTTTACTTATTTTACTTATTTTTACAATTAAATCTATGAAAAACCAAATGCTGGCAGGGATAAAGATTTTTGATCAAAGTGGTTATCGTCAAGCTAAACTCTTTGGATGTTTTTAGGTGTTGCAACAAAATGTGTGAGACCATCTTCAGTTAGCTAAAGGCCACCAGACCATCTCCAGTTAGCTAAGACCATCTCCAGTTAGCTAAAGGCTAGAAGACCATCTCCAGTTAGCTAAAGGCTAGAAGACCATCTCCAATTAGCTAAAGGCTAAAAGACCATCTCCAGTTAGCTAAAGGCTAAAAGACCATCTCCAGTTAGCTAAAGGCTAGAAGACCATCTCCAGTTAGCTAAAGGCTAAAAGACCATCTCCAGTTAGCTAAAGGCCAGAAGACCATCTTCAGTTAGCTAAAGGCAACCAGACCATCTCCAGTTAGCTAAGACCATCTCCAGTTAGCTAAAGGCTAGAAGACCATCTCCAGTTAGCTAAAGGCTAGAAGACCATCTCCAGTTAGCTAAAGGCTAGAAGATCATCTCCAGTTAGCTAAAGGCTAGAAGACCATCTCCAGTTAGCTAAAGGCTAGAAGACCATCTCTAGTTAGCTAAAGGCTTGAAGACCATCTCCAGTTAGCTAAAGACTAGAAGACCATCTCCAGTTAGTTAAAGGCTAGAAGACCATCTCTAGTTATCTAAAGGCTAGAAGACCATCTCCAGTTAGCTAAAGGCTAGAAGACCATCTCCAGTTAGCTAAAGGCTAAAAGACCATCTCCAGTTAGCTAAAGGCTAAAAGGCCATCTCCAGTTAGCTAAAGGCTAAAAGACCATCTCTAGTTAGCTAAAGGCTTGAAGACCATCTCCAGTTAGCTAAAGACTAGAAGACCATCTCCAGTTAGCTAAAGGCTAGAAGACCATCTTCAGTTAGCTAAAGGCTAGAAGACCATCTCCAGTTAGCTAAAGGCTAGAAGACCATCTCTAGTTAGCTAAAGGCTAAAAGACCATCTTCAGTTAGCTAAAGGCTAAAAGACCATCTCCAATTAGCTAAATGCTAAAAGACCATCTTCAGTTAGCTATAGGCTAAAAGACCATCTTCAGTTAGCTAAAGGCTAAAAGACCATCTTCAGTTAGCTAAAGGCTAGAAGACCATCTCCAGTTAGCTAAAGGCTAAAAGACCATCTCTAGTTAGCTAAAGGCTAGAAGACCATCTCCAGTTAGCTAAAAGCTAGAAGACCATCTCCAGTTTGCTAAAGGCTAGAAGACCATCTCCAGTTAGCTAAAGGCTAGAAGATCATCTCCAGTTAGCTAAAAGCTAGAAGACCATCTCCAGTTAGCTAAAGGCTAGAAGACCATCTCCAGTTAGCTAAAGGCTAGAAGACCATCTCTAGTTAGCTAAAGGCTAGAAGACCATCTCTAGTTAGCTAAAGGCTAAAAGACCATCTTCAGTTAGCTAAAGGCTAAAAGACCATCTCCAGTTAGCTAAAGGCTAAAAGACCATCTTCAGTTAGCTAAAGGCTAGAAGACCATCTCCAGTTAGCTAAAGGCTAGAAGACCATCTCTAGTTAGCTAAAGGCTAAAAGACCATCTTCAGTTAGCTAAAGGCTAAAAGACCATCTCTAGTTAGCTAAAGGCTAAAAGACCATCTTCAGTTAGCTAAAGGCTAAAAGACCATCTCCAGTTAGCTAAAGGCTAAAAGACCATCTTCAGTTAGCTAAAGGCTAAAAGACCATCTCCAGTTAGCTAAAGGCTAGAAGACCATCTCTAGTTAGCTAAAGGCTAGAAGACCATCTCTAGTTAGCTAAAGGCTAAAAGACCATCTTCAGTTAGCTAAAGGCTAAAAGACCATCTCTAGTTAGCTAAAGGCTAAAAGACCATCTTCAGTTAGCTAAAGGCTAAAAGACCATCTCCAGTTAGCTAAAGGCTAAAAGACCATCTTCAGTTAGCTAAAGGCTAGAAGACCATCTCTAGTTAGCTAAAGGCTAAAAGACCATCTGCCGTTAAAACCAAGCATACGTTTTTCATCGCGATTTCTCCCACGTTTTATTTCATGTGTTTGTTTTAGAGATGACTACAGAGTTGTGCTGCATGCTCTTTAGGGTTCATTATCTTGTGTTTTTGCAGAAAATCAGTGGAAGAAAATTAGACGAACAATTTCAGAAGCTGTGAAAGAGTTCACTCCATGTAGTCCCGTCAACTGTAGCTGTCATAGTAGGTGAGTGATCAGTCTTCCTCGTCATTTTACCGTCAGAAAATTCACATTTATGCTTTTTACTTATGTTTTGTTTGAATTTTCCACCTCAGTGTCTTAGAACGTGACCTGGAGCCTTTTAAAGGAGGAGTCTCTGAAGATCTGATGGCAGCTACGATTCAGAGGGGGGTGGGGACCCACTACCAGATCATCGGACACAAGCTGTTCAGAGACAGTAACTGCATGTTTCCTGCTCGGTACGGTTAACAATCATCCATGTGTTTGTTTGTTCACATCAGAAGCTGTAAACGGTTTGTCCTGGATCCTGTTCTCAGGTGCAGCGGAGTGGAACATTTCCTCCTGGAGATGATTGACAGGCTGCCAGATGTGGAGATGGTGGTAAATGTGAGAGATTATCCTCAGGTCCCCCAGTGGGTGCAGCCGAGTCTCCCAGTCTTCTCCTTTAGTAAGGTCAGGATCCTCAATCGCTCACAGAAAGATGGATAACAGTGGTTGTTGACTCCCTCTTTGTTTATCTGTGTAGACGTCGGAATACCGGGACATCATGTACCCAGCATGGACATTCTGGGAGGGCGGGCCCGCCGTGTGGCCCATTTACCCCACCGGACTGGGAAGATGGGATCTGATGAGGGATGAGCTGAAAAGGTTCGGAGAGGAGGAAATGAGGAGCAGTGCTTCTCATGAATCTTAAATATCTGATTTTATTTTTCCGTTTTAGGTCAAAGCGCCGATATGGTCACTACAGCTGTAGGCGTCAGTTAAAATCCCCACTTTTTTATCAGTTTCTGAATGCACCACAGCTCTGCAGCTGATGATGACTTGTAACTTGTCCGTGAAGGCACCGCTGCATACCATCAGTCAGACTTTCTACACTTTTCTGTGTTTGTTAACGCACCTCAACTCATAGCTAAGTGGCTAATTTGCACTAGCTGGCATTTTTTACTGGTCCACGTGTTACCGTAGCTCTTTCTCAGTCATAATTCCACCATTTTCCTTCGTCTTTGAACACAAAATATCTCTTAGCTACGTGGCTAAAAGTATGGAAGCTCATTTCTGCCACTCTGGTAAAAAAATACATACATTTTTTATGCCATTATTATGACTCCCAGTAAGTCATACTACTGAGATATTATCTCATAATTATTTGATAGCAATGTTTTTATCAGTGTAGCGGAGGCAAATTTAATGATTTTATTTGTTATGACCAGGAAGATGTAATATTCTATATGAATATAAAATATTAACCTGCTAGGTGCTTTATTGTAATTAATCAGAAGATTCTAGGTTCTTTGCTTTTTCAGTGATCAACCACACTTCGTGTTACTTCAAGAAAGAGTCGGTTTTATAAAAGTAAGAATTTATTCTGCAAACAATTTAAAACACGACTAATTAACTAAGCATTTACTGTGAGCGGATGTAGCTAAACGTGATGTCAGTCAGAGCTTCCTTACTTTGGTAAGCTGAGTTCTGGTGAAAAGAATTTGGTTTGCTCTAAGCTCTAAAGTTATCATCAGAAGAACATGAGACGCAATCTGTCATGTCTGCTTCACCCGTTTCGGAGAGACCCTCTTGGTGGATCCGAAAGTCACAGGGGTCGACTGACCGCTGGCACCGGAGGGCTGTAGAATACCGTGGTACCGACTCCTCAGTCCAGAGATGTCTCGGGTCACAACAGTCAGGATAGAACCGGACTCTTAAGGAGTCTAACAATATATATTTTCACGTGTCTGAGCAGAACCTCCCTGAACCGTCTACAGGTGGTTCAGAATGCCTGTGCTCGGCGTCTGACCAAGTCCTCCAAACACACCCACATCACCCCGCTTCTCCTCCAGCTTCACTGGCTGCCAGTCAACTTCAGGGTTCATTTCAAGATCCTGGTTCTGGTCTATAGGGCCTTACATGGACAAGCACCATCTTATATTGGTGATCTTCTTAGTCCCTACACCCCCAGCAGGTCCCTGAGGTCCAGTGATCAAAGCCTACTGGTTGTGCAGCACCAGGCTAAAGACCAAAGGTGACAGATCATTTGCTGCTGTGGCCCCCAGACTCTGGAACTCTCTCCCCCTGAGCCTGAGATCAGTGGACTCAGTGGTCTCCTTTAAACAGCAGCTGAAGACTCACTTGTTCAAGCTGGCTTTTGTATGACCTTCTTCACCTCTCTCTCTTTATTCTGCTCTCCCCACCTATTCCACCTTCCTCAGGATCCACTGATTTCCCTCTTTCCTGTTCACTCTCTCTCTCTCTTTACATTTTTTTAATCACAATTGTCTATTTTTGCTCATTTTAAATATAATTTTAAACATTTACTAAATTCTTTTTTATATTTTTACATTTTTTTGTCTTTGTGAAGCGCCTCGTGATTTTTATCTTGAGAGGCGCCATAGAAATGATACTTTCTTCTTCTTCTTCTTCTTCAGCTTTGTTTCTGCAGGAGCTGTTTGCTCATCAGCTTTGCAGGTGCAAAAAGGTTTTGACGACGTGTCAAAATCCTTGATGGCTAAAGAGGTTTGGCTACAGATGGCCGGTCTGAGAGATGCTCTAGAACTGTCGAATCCCTCAGAATGCTCTAGTTTTAAGGTTTAGCTGTTATGATTTGCACAGCCAATCAGAGGCTGACAGCTTGGGAGATGTTACCAAGGCAACTCAGAAACACGCCGCCTTGATACAGGATGTTCTGGCTGGGTTAACACTGTGTGTGTCAGGGTTAACGTAGCCGTACTTGTTATGTGTGAGTGCAGGTGTGAGGACCTGTCGTCTAAACATGTTGAACACATGACAGTCTCAGTAGACATAACATAACAATTATTGAGCACAGATTAATGAAGCAGTTCACTACAATATAATGATTGTAAGTAGCAATAAACAAATGTTTATTTAATGATTATATAAGTCATGGAAGAAGTTCATATTGATTTAGTAAATCATTCTTGATTTTAGCAACTGATTTGAGCTGGAGTTGTTCCTTCTAGAGGCAGACAGATGAGAAAGTTATATCTTTCAGACTTGTGAATCCCAGCTGGTGTAAAGGCAGACTCGTTTTAAGGGAACACATGCAATGTTGTGTCTCCTTTCTGACCAGATGCTGAATAGATGGGGAAAGGTCAGACAGTACCTGAACTGATCATTGCTGGACGTTACATCAGAGTGGCAGAAATAGACTTTCATACATTGGCTCTAAAAGTAACATGCAGTGTTTTTAAATCCATTGAATGTGTACATCATCACTCAGCGTCAGTAGAAAGGCTGACATTTATCCTGGTCTGTAATGACTCCTAGCTAAAGGGCTGATTCATGCTAGCAATAGCGCGGCATAAATGTGTTTTTTTCCCGAGCCTGTGAACACGTCATAGCTAAAAAGCTAATACTTGTTAGCATTAGCTCAGAATATGCAGAAAATTATCTACTAAATTCAGTTAATTATCCTAAAAATTCTTTAAAAATCTATCTGAATACAGATTTTGTTATGATTAAAGGGACTTTACGGAGTTTTGAATTTTTATGCTCGCAATTACCCCCTCAGGCCAAAAGTGTAACGGCAGCTTCAATAGTAGGCTCGTGCACGAGGCGCGCATGCTGTACGTGCACACTCCTTAACGAAAGTAACAGCTGAGACAGTCCCGTGTGTGTGTGTGTGTGTGTGTGTGTGTGTGGCCCGTAGGACAGAGGACAGGAGAACACGCAGCTAATTAATTAAATAATTTGGTTCTGTACCTTTCTCTTCAGCACAGCCGACAAAGGTTTATGATGGGTCAGTCCTCCTGCATGCTCAGATCATTCCCTTCCCTTGCTTGAAAAATTGTTCCAAAATGAAAGTTGAACCCACATCTTTTTTATCTGTGAATTCAATGCCGTTCGGCGAGTCTCAAATAAAAATTTGGGCATCTTACTGTAAAAAAATATACTATTAATGTAAAAAAGAAACTCTAAATGAACTATGTTCACACCCAGAATCAAACACAGGTCTTCTGCATGAGAGTCCGACGCTTTACTAGGTGAGCTAAAGCGCCAGTGACATCATGTGTATCTGTAACATTTATATCCTTGATGACAGCTGAAACAACGTCAAACCAAAGAACGGTTCCGAGCGAAAATGGCTATTTTGTTGCTAATTTGCAGGAAATATCTAGAAGAAAGTTCTACAGAAAGTAGCTAAGGGTCCTCAGAAATGTAGCTAGCTTTGTCACTAGGCGTCAGGAACAGCGACAAAGTGGCACTGCCTCTCTCTCTGCTGCTAAAGCTACGGATAGCAAATGCTACGGGCGATGCCTGAGCGTGAACGCGCATGAAGCAGCCTGCTCGACCCGAGCATCTCTCTTTTTCTGTGATTTTACAGAAAAACAGGCAATCACAGTAAAAATGCCAGGGCTCATTCTACAGGACCAGGGCATTGCAGGAGAATGTATGAAGAAGACATTTATTATTTCTATACATGTTTTGGCTGTCAAACGTCCATAATGCCCCTTTAAAGTCTGTCATCATGTTGTTTTATTTACCTTGTCAGGTCTTCAGCACAGTGGCCCTGGAAGAAGAAAGAATCCAAAGGATTCTTTAGAGGCTCCAGGTCTTATTTACAGCTTTTGTTTAAATGCATTAGTCTCTTACATCACTTAATAATCGTGGTTAGGATGAAAGTTTTCCCCCGTCTGCTTTCCCGCTGCAGAACCAGCTCGGAACGTGACCCGCTCATCCTCCTGTCCAGAGAGGCTCCTGAGCTGGTGAACGCTGAGTACACCAAGAACCAGGCGTGGAAGTCGGAGAAGGTCGGTCACAAGGAGTTAACGACAAAAAGAAAAAAGCCGCGATGTGAATATTTGTTTTTTTCCCACATCAGGACACCCTCGGGAAGCCTCCAGCTAAAGAGGTCCCCCTGGTGGATCACTGCAAATACAAGTAAGACCCTTTGGTTGAGCCTAAAGGGAGGAGCTTAAACTCCGTGTGACCGTTTTTGTCTCCTGCAGGTATTTGTTTAACTTCCGCGGCGTGGCGGCGAGTTTCCGCCTCAAGCATCTCTTCCTCTGTGGCTCGCTGGTTTTCCACGTGGGAGACAAGTGGCAGGAGTTCTTCTACCCTCAGCTGAAGCCCTGGGTGCACTACGTCCCCGTCCAACAGGACCTGTCCAATGTCAGGTACGTCAGCCACCTTCTTCTAACGTGTCTCTTTGTAGGGACGTGATTGAGAGTCTTCGTGTCCTCCTGTCCCCAGAGAGCTCCTGCAGTTCGTCAAAGAGAACGACGCCGTCGCTCAGGAGATCGCCGAAAGGTAACGGACGAGTGAACTGTGAGAGAAACACGTTTTCTAGACACGTCAAAACCGAGTTCTGCGTCTGTTCCTCCCCACAGAGGTAAGGACTTCATCCTTCGTCACCTGCGGATGGAGGACGTCTCCTGCTACTGGGAGAGACTCCTCACAGAGTTCAGCCGGCTTCTCGCCTACAAACCCAGCAGGAAGAGCAGCTACAAGCAGATCATCCAGAAACCCAACAGAGCCGAGCTGTGAGGGACTCGGCACCGTGTCCTCACCGATGCCAAAACCTAGATAGAGATAGTTTTAGGTGAGAAAAGACTTCAGATGCTGCTGTTTCTTCATTAGGGGGAGCTACCACATACTCAAAGAAAGGTGAACTAGACCAATGAGGCTGTCAGGGTGCATCATGGGAACTTCCTACATCACAGTATTGAGTTTTATTGTGATTTATTTACTATATTTGGTTGCTTATGTGAACAAATCAGTTTTTATGACCATTAAACCACAGAAATCTAATAAAGATGTCACACACCGCCTCCTACTGTACAACTGCAGCTGAATGTTTAGTCTGTTACAGAATAAGACTTTAGGATGTTCAAATGTTGACACAAAGTGCTAATAACGAGCAATAATTTTAGATCTATGTGTTTGTTTTTACTCTAGTTTCAAAGAAACTTGTGTCACTTAAGTTTACTGTATTAAATAAAGGAGTTGAGGGTAAAAGCAGGATTAAGTTGAATATGTTGTAGTATTCACGTTATCCTGTCAACCACGAGGTTCCCACTAGTTTTTTACAAATATTAGCCACATCTGTGTTCCTGATTTTGAACAAATAAAGCTGCGATCAAGTTTTAGTTTGATATCTGAAGTTTTCTTATTACAATAAAACCATTAAACACGAATTCTGCAATGTGTTTTTATAATTAATATGGATTTACAATTTCACTGTTTACCCTTTACTCAGATTTTGTATCTATGCTTGTTTTTGTACATACTGTAGTTTTCCATGGTGTTTGGAGAATAAACATTGTAAAATTGCAGTCAACATTATTTTTTTAACTATTACGCTTGTTTACACAGTCTGCTCTACAATAAATAAAAATTACACAAATTTCTGCAATTAAGTTGCTGTACACAAGTAAATTTAAAAAGTATGGACACATTTTCACAACTGATGAAAAAGAAATTCCTAATTCATGTTTATGTGATAATACTACTAAATAAGTACCTCAAAGTTTCAATTTAAGAAATAGTTTATTTTTCTATCACAGTGGCAGAAATGGACTCAAAAGGCCCAAGCAAACGTTTTTACTTGGAAAATTTAGAACCATTTATCCTCCTGACCACCGGGGGCGCTAGCGCTCCAATGTTCGCGCAGCCGCAATGCGGTCAGATGTCATTAGCCGCTGCAGTCTGTTGGTCCTGGACAGAATGGACATGTGAAGGGCATGCATGATGATAAAAGTTTTGTCATTTATAAATAATATTTAACCGAACCGCTTTACTCAGTTAGACCGACACGTCACTGTTGACGAGTAACTGAACGCTCGTTGCTGGTAAGTAGCTGTTAGCCTAGCTAACATGCTAATTGTTGCTAACATCTGATAAGCTTAGCTTACTATAAACATACTTGTTACTAAAAATAATTAAAATAAAGAGCTATTTTGTGATTTTAAAATACACAGATACTCATTTAAACATATTTAGTGCTGCAGTTTTTACTGTTAACCTGCTAAAACCTGGACATTAGAGGCAGGTGTTCAACTTTAAAGGTTATTAAGTCTACTTTAAGGTGCGTCAGCCCTTTTGGTTTGATTTTTTTGTAACTTTTTGTGTATAATTCCAATTTCACCTGCACAAATGCTGCTAATAGCAGTGTTTTCATTCATGTAGTCCAACCTTGGGTATTATAAAAGAAACAGAGTTCCCTTAAAGGTGATGCAAATGTAAGAAATGTGTTTAGCAGTCTTGAATAACTGCTGTTTCAAGACCTGTTTTCTTATTTTTGTTCAAATAAACCTGACATGTATGCTGCCGGGGAAAAGGCAGGAACATGCAGCAGTGTCTGACTCGGGTTCAGGGGCCTCAGGTAGACCTTGGCTCCTCTGCTGTCCCATCTCAAGGGAGGGGGAAGTCCAGGAGGGGGAGGACCCAACCTTACCTGGATGTCCTATGTCATTTATAATGCGGAAGTTGTGCAAAGATGGGCATAGATATTCTGCTGGGGTGGGGCCGGCTGGGTTGGTGCCCTCTGACTCCGTGAGGCTCTGTGATGCTGCTGCTTTGGGCCCTTGCAGGATGGGCTGGGGTAGGGGAGCTGGCTCCCTGGAGGGCTAAGCCCAACCAGCCATTCCTCCCCATCCCTACACATTTCTCTCCTCCTGCTCCCTCACATCATCACTCATGCACATAGGACCTTGGGGGGTGGACAAGTCAGGGAGTGTGGGTATAGACCACATTTCTGCATTCCTGTGGCAACCTGCCCCCCAATTTTATTTGCACCTTAAACACTTTCACCAACGACATTCCACGCAAACACACACTTAGGGCCTTGGGAGTGAGCACATCCAATGGCACTTGGCAGCGGGATTTCTCAGCCTCCTCCCGAGTGCCGGTGCCCACTTCCAATTTTAAACTGCACTTAGACACTGAGGGCTGTGGGTGCAAGTGGGGTGGTGTGGTGGCATCCGCTGGCATAGGCCAGACGATGCCCGCACTGCCCGCTCACCACAGCCATGGAATACACCTCATCAACACTCACTAACACCATATTGGAGCAGGCAGAGGGAGACTAGGGGTCTTAGCACACCTCTGTTGTCGCTTGGCTTCCTGGGGCTGGAGGCTAGGAGGGAGATCCGGCCGTCTGGTTGGGGTCTGGGGTGGTGGGTTGCTGTGCTCAGCGTTGGGTGGGGGTGCCTGCTCATCAGCACCCCAGCAGAAAGGGTCGAACTCTGGTAACCGGTGATGGTTGTACCCCATGTGCAGCAGTACCGGGACCAGAGTGAATAGGGTGTGTATGGGGAGCATGAGGGGGGGAGTGTGTGACTGTGTTTGTGTATGACTGTATATGTCAGGTGGGGCCTTTGACTCCTCCCCTCTCCTGGGACTTCTTTTGATGATATAGATCTTCGTCTCCCCTCCCCCTGCCACACCTGGCGTGGAGTGCGGTGCAAAAAAAAAACATTAAAATTCTGTGACCTGGTGGACTACAATATTCCTAAATTTATGTATAAGCAAACAAAAAGCCCTCCTAAAAATTTTCTTAGAAGATTTATAAAAAGAGTAAATATGAATTAAAAGGACATGAATTATTTACAATACCTAAGCATAGAATAATTATAAAGGAGCGCTGTGTCTCTATATATGGAGTTAAAATATGGAATAAGCTAGGTAATGTAAACAAGGATGCGAAAACGATATTTACTTTAAAAAAACTAATTAAAAATGAAATACTGGAATCATATACGCGCAAATCAATTATCTAAAAAAATAATTTAAAAAAAGCTATAGAAGATGTGTGTATGTATAAATATGTATGTATGTATGTGTATGTCTATATGGATATGTATAGATGAAGTATGGGCGACCATATGGGCATGCGATGCACTTTAATGTATATATGTATGAATATGTATATGCGCAAAAATCCTTTAGCTTTTTGAATTATTATTACTATTAATTTTCTCTTTCTTCTTTACAATTTGAACTCAAGTAAGCTAACCAGGCGAGCAATTACTCTGTAATTGCTAGTTTATAATTATTATTTCAGTGTAAACATGTCATTTTTGTTAAAACGGGGCAGATAACATAAGTTTTCTTCTTTCTGTTCCCTTTTCATTTTCTTGGTTTGAGAAACCTCATTTTATTTGTTATTATTGTTTTTTTTTCTGTTTTAATAATAAATGAAATAAATAATAATAATAAAAACATTTAGTTTGATCTGTATGTAGTGGTAGACAAACTTGGTTCTGGTTCTGTCCCGACCCGAACGACCGCCTTTAATCGTTTTCTGAGACATTCCTCGCTGTGGGAATGCTGTAATTCCCGTTGAGACGTTTATGGGTGTGGTTACCGAGGAAACATGAAACGAGACCCGTTCAGAACCTGAGCTCTGAGCTGAGTTAGACGTCTGACTTGAGCTCTCCATCCTACTCTAACACCCCCCCCCCACACACACACACACACACGAGCAGCGTCTTAACAGCTGTTCACTCGGCCTGTTTACTGACGCTCCTCCATCACGTTGTTCTCCTCTGGGCTGTTGACTCCAGGATCTGAGCGTGAGTTGAAAAGTGCGAGTTTCTCCGTCTCCACTAACCGTGTGTTTGTGTCTCCCCGCTGCAGCTGGAGCGTGAAGCATCCGGAGCAAACCGGCTCTGTCCCACACAGACGAGCAGATTCGTGCCCCGGGGCGCCGTGTGCACCGGTCCCGCTGCAGGGCCTCATCCAGACCGCCATGCCACGTTTCTTCTGCTTCTTGCTCCCCAGGGTCCATGCAGCTGATGTGGCTGCTGCACAAACACCCCCCTCCTCCTCCTCCTCCACCAGTCCCGCTCCTGGACCCACATCCAGCACCCTGCCAAGTAACATCGGCAAGCCAGAACTTCCCGACACGGGATGGGAGCGCATCAGGGACCTCTTCGATAGAGAGTTGGTGTCTGTTCCTCCTGTTAGTTTGTGAAACCAGTTATGGGGAAAACTATAAAAGCATCATTTAGAGAGCTGTGGCTGTGATCTAGCACATCACAGAGGAATGAGTAAAAAGTTCACAGTGAAGACGAGGAAGGACTACCCTGCCCCAGCTTCTGTAGCTAGCGCTAACAATAAGCTAACGCTAACACGAGAAAACTGATAAAAAACATCCATATTGTTGGATCCATATTATTACAAGTCCAGCAGCAACAAAGCCAGGTCACCATCAGTCTGTGACGTAATGGCCTCGTTTAGCTTCCTCAAATAATAAATAATAATAATAATGCATTGAACTTATATAGCACTTTTCTAGACACCCAAAGACGCTTTCACACACTCACATTCACACACTGTTAGTGATGGTAAGCTACTTGTAGCTACAGCTGCCCTGGGGAGTTCTGACAGAAGCGAGGCTGCCATTTGGCGCCGTCGGCCCCTCTGACCACCACTAACACAGGCAAGTTGGGTGAAGTGTCTTACCCAAGGACACAACAGCAGGATACCCCTGGCGGGAGCTGGAATCGAACCCATGACTCTCCGATCATGAGGCAACCCGCTCTACCACCTGAGCTACTGCTGCCCCTAAATTGAACGTAGGCCGCGCCAATGTTCACTCTGGCTTTAGCTCTTTGCTTCACATCACTCTCTTACTTTTTCATGCTTCGTCTATGGCGCGTTATGGGGGCCAAAAATTAAGACTACTGCCCAGCAGCAGGAGGCTATATAAATTCCGGGGGTGGTGGGGGGGGTGGGGGGGGTGGGGTTAAATATTATATAGTTTTAATAAAGATAACATCACAATTTTAATAATTATTAACCTGTAATTGAATACAAAGGATTTAAAATCCAAAGATGAAAAGTACAAACTAGTTAGCTCTGGCTTTTTCTCAAATATGTGCAAGAAAACCAAACTATATAAAAAGAAAACGCCACCAACCTGTAATTAAGAGCAGAATGGAGTTAACGCAATCAATGCTAACAGGCTGTCAGCTTTGCAATACGCTTAAAGTTAATGTGTATACCAACGCATTCTGTTAAAGGAACAACTGTGATTGTAGGTCTAATAGTATGTCATCCGTTTAATAAAAGTAAAAAAATAAACTCATCTAGTAGAGTAAGTGACTCTCCGAGACATGATAATGGCTAGCCTCTCCGATGCTAACGCCAGCCTATCCATGCTAAAGGTCCGTTGAGGGGTAGGAAATCAGGCTAGTGGCCAGCCTAGGCACGCTAATGGCTAGCCTCTCCAATGCTAACACTAGCCCATCTAGGCTAACGCTAGCCTATCCATGCTAAAGGTCCGTTGAGGGGTAGGAAATTAGGCTAGTGGCCAGCCTAGGCACGCTAATGGCTAGCCTCTCCAATGCTAACACTAGCCCGTCTAGGCTAACGCTAGCCTATCCATGCTAATAGACAGCAGAGGGAATTTGTGAACCAGTCAATTACCAGCCGGGGGCTGCTAGTCCCTAGCGTATCTAGTAGTAATGCCGATAAAGGTGCTATTTCTCAGTAAGCAGCGCTAGCCTCTCAGTTACCGGCGCCAGCTTATCATTAATCAGATCAGTAGTTTGCTTCAGAATTCATATAGCCTCCTGCTGCTGGGCAGTAGTCTTAATTTTGGCCCCCATACCGCGCCATATTGGTCATGATGCCAACAAAACTAAGTTCTTCTTGTGCTTTCTATTGATGGTTGGTTTACTGAAAAGCTAACTGCTAGCCTTTATATGAGCTACCAGCACAGTTACCATCTGTTACTGTAAAGCAGGAAGAGACCCACCAGTGTCCTTACATGAACTACAAAAGTGTTGCTTCCATCGTTGACACAGTTCAGCTACTCCTCTTCCTGTTAAGCTGCTCAGGTGGAGCCGAGCGGGGATGGGGGGTTCTCTGGTCGGCTGTGGCATAAAACCTGGGCTATTAAACATGTCGGATCATCTTGGTCTGATTTCAGGGGCAAACAAGTGAATTTACCACAAACTAAACTCTGTTCTGTCTCCTGAGCTGGGACTGAGATGGACCGTTGTAGCTTCAGCTGTCATATGTCTCCGCCCCCTTAGTGAGACCATGCAGTACCCGGAGGAGCTCACCAACATAATGAAGAACTGCTTTGTGGGGGCCGTCGCTGGCTTCCTGTACGGCGGCCTGCCAGCTGCTCGCTTCGCCAGGCAGAGGTACATCCAGGTCAGCCAGGCGGAGGTGTACAGGGGTCGGGTCGACGCCGTTGTGAGTGGACGCTCGGATCGTCTCAGAGACTAAGCTAATCATTTAATCATATTGATGGTTTGATGTTTTTTTTTCCTGCCAGCGCTCCTCTCACCACGCAGCCATCCGTGGGTTTTTGCGGTACGGGTGGAGGTGGAGCTGGAGAGTCTCTCTGATTGTCACTTTGTTCAGGTACTTGGAAAATAATCTGAATATAAACAAACTAGGGCTGCAACTAACGACTATTTTAATAGTCGACTAGTCACCGACTATTGAAATGATTAGTCGACTAATTGGATAATTATTAAATTTTTCCTAAATTTAGCACGAGAGTGCTTTAATTATGTGAAAAATGATAATAAACACAAGAAAGATGGGTACTTCAATGGAAAGTGCATATTTCATTGATCTTTGCTGCTGATAGGCCAATTCATACTACAGTAAATAAAAATGTCGTCTAACACCAATTAGGCACAGTTCCCAGTCATAATAGACAAAAATGCATAAATAAAATTAAATTACTTTTGTCAGGCACAGTCAGGCGTAACATTACCGTAATTTCCGGACTTAAGAGCGCACCTCAATGTAAGCCGCATCAGGCTAACAGCCGCAGATATCTACTGAATTGAAAACGTAGTTTAACTGTCAGTGTCGCTCTCCGTGTTGCTGTCATCATCCCGGGGTGAAGCGGTGAAAACACGCAGCGCCGTTTTACTGTGAAAAAATCCTCCGGGGCGCTTTCCGTAGCACTCCTCCTTTCCAGCATCCATCCTTCTGACCCCCAAATTCCACTACCTCCGCTCCGCTCCGCTCCGACACGAACGCCGGAGCAAAATCGGTCCCGTTGTAGTCAATCAGAGCAATTCCACTACTGCGGCCGTGCTCCGGCAGTGCGGCGCCGTGCGCCGCCCTCTGTTCCGGCGTCCGGCAAAAATAGAATCGATCCTATTTTTGCCGGACGCCGGAGCACCTCCGCAGTAAATGGACAGAAATCACAACCGCCCAACAGGAAAAGGAGCAAGCACAACTTCCGTTTTTCACAATAAATCGATAAACAAAAGGCGTTTTTTGTTTCATATGAACAGGTTTAACAACTTTTAACAACTATCAATGGCGGCTGAACTTTAAATGCACAAAAGTAAGCCATAAATACAGTTTCCACTATCAAAGTAGTCACGTTGTTGATCCAAACACTGCTGATCTCTCAACACAAATGATGGGCAGATTAAACAGTTCATGTCGATGCTTCTCCCACACAACGGGTGTTTGGATCTAACTTCCGCGTTTATTGCTCGGACTGTATCGCAAGATCTCGAAAATCCCGCGCATGCCTGTTTGCCCACCTCAGGTCTCCGCACCGGAGCGGAGCCGTTGTAGAGCGGGTACCAAGAAAAATTGAGTTCGGAAGCGAGCGGCTGCGGAAGGCGGGGACGGAGCGGAGCGGAGCGGAGGTAGTGGAATTTGGGTGTAAAGCCGCACACCTCATTATAAGCCGCGTTCAAAGCATGGGGAAAAGTAGCGGCTTATAGTTTGGAAAATACGTTAAATCTTTTTTTTTTAGCGAAAATACGTTTAAAAAATGTACCTCCAAAACAAAACGTATTGGCTTTCGTGTTGTTCAAATCTTACCGAGGTGAGTCAGACGCTGTTTCGTTCAAATGTCCGATGTGCTTCCTCGTAAGTGTTCATGCATCACCGAGGTGCTGCCGTGATACACGAGGACTGCTTTGCAAATAATGCAGGTCATCTTTTTAGTCATCAAATCCAGGCTAGAACGCTCCCAAACTTTAGGTGTTTTGGTCGCGTAGCTGCGGTGTTGGACGCCGCCATTTCTGTTAGTTGGCGCTCAGCAGAGAAGCTACTGCTTATGTGCGACTCTCGGCAGAGATTGTAATGAAGTGAGATGCCTCACTCGGTCGGACAAAACACATCTGGCGACAACGTCGGCGAATCGTTGCAGCCCTAAAACAAACCCAAAGTTCCTTCTAACGTTTGTTTCTGTCCTGTCGTCCTGTAGCTCCGTCAGCACAGGACTGTCTGTGTACCGGGACAAGGACGTCCTCAGTAACTATGTCGCTGCTGGAGGTGAGTGGTTATTGATTTGAAAGGTTTAGTCGTGTTTCATTTCTTACTTCTAACACGGGTGTTTCCCTGCTGCCACACGCCGGATTTAAATGAGTGATTAACAGGCATCTGCAGCACTTGATGTCCTCCTGAGGAGGCGATGTAAATCAGGTGTGCTGAAGCAAAGACCTGGAGAACGTGCAAGTCAGTGGGCCCTGGGGACCATGGTTGGGAAACACTGGTCTAACCTGTTTAGAACCAAGTCAGGACCTGTGGTCATTTTTAAAGGGGCGTTATGGAAGTTTGACAGTCAAAACATGTATAGAAATAATAAATGTCTTCTTCATACATTCTCCTGCAATGCCCTGGTCCTGTAGAATGAGCCCTGGCATTTTTACTGTGATTGCCTGTTTTTCTGTAAAATCACAGAAAAAGAGAGATGCTCGGGTCGAGCAGGCTGCTTCATGCGCGTTCACGCTCAGGCATAGCCCGTAGCGTTTGCTATCCGTAGCTTTAGCAGCAGAGAGAGAGGCAGTGCCACTTTGTCGCTGTTCCTAACGCCTAGTGACAAAGCTAGCTACATTTCTGAGGACCCTTAGCTACTTCCTGTAGAGCTTTCTTCTAGATATTTCCTGCAAATTAGCAACAAAATAGCCATTTTCACTCCAAACCGTTCTTTGGTTTGACGTTGTTTCAGCTGTCATCAAGGATATAAATGTTACAGATACAAATGATGTCACTGGTGCTTTAGCTCACCTTGTAAGATGTCTGACTCTTGTGCAGAAGGCCTGGGTTTGATTCTGGATGTGAACGTAGTTCGTTTAGAGTTTCTTTTTTACATTAGTGATATATTATTTTACAGTAAGATGCCCAAATTTTTAGTTGAGACTTGCAGAACGGCATTGAATTCACAGATAAAAAAGATGTGGGTTCAACTTTCATTTTGGAAATATTTTTTAAGCAAGGGAAGGGAATGATCTGAGCATGCAGGAGGACTGACCCATCATAAACCTTTGTCAGCTGTGCTGAAGAGAAAGGTACAGAACCAAATTATTTAATTAATTAGCTGCGCGTTCTCCTGTCCTCCGGGCCACACACACACACACACACACACACACAAGGGACTGTCTCAGCTGTTATTTTCGTTAAGGAGTGTGCACGTACAGCATGCGCGCCTCGTGCACGAGCCTCCTATTGAAGCTGCCGTTACGCTTTTGGCCTGAAGGGGCAATCGCGAGCATAAAAATTCAAAAGTCCGTAAAGTCCCTTTAAACTAAAGATCTAGTCTGAAAATAAACACGGTGGATTTATGCTTGCTTCTTCTCACGGAGAGTCTAAAATAATTCCAAACCTGCAGACCTTCTAAACTAGCTTTGCTCAGTAGTTGTGTCTGACGGTTCTGGGTTTATTTACACTAACAGAACTACAAGACCCACAATGCACCGCAGCAGCCTCTTCTGATCCTGGTTGGTTTTAGACGAGGAAACAGGTTAACGAGGTGTGTGTGTGCATGCGTGTGTGTGTGTGCATGCATGTGTGTGCGTGCGTGCGTGCGTGTGTGTGTGTGTGTGTGTGTGCGTGTGTGTGTGTGTGTGTGTGTGTGTGTGTAGTTGTAACTGTAGGCCTCTACAGACTGAACCTGGGCCTGAGAGGGTTGGTGGCTGGAAGTGTCATTGGGGCGGTTCTGGGGTGAGTTCCATTCTCTTCCTGACACCTCAGCTGATCTGACTGAACAGCATCTGTCCTCCTCTGTGAGCTCTTTCACACACGCACGCACGCACGCACACACACACACACAGCCAGCCATGTGTGTGTAAACAATCTGGCCCTTTGCTTGGGAGCAGTGAGCACTCTGGCAGCCAGCTGCGTTCCTCCCAGCAGCCCTCTGTAGCCCAGCTGGACCCCATAACCCCCCACCCCCATCCTGCTCCCGTGTCTGCTCGCTGCCAGGGGGACGTTGGCTCCACAGTTGGCCGCCATCTTTTGGATGTTGGAGAGAAGAGGCCGGCCAAGTTGTCAGCTGCCCCTCAACATGTTCCCCCTGATTCTTCAACTGTTTGCTTCTGTTAGCATCACTTTCAACTACAGAGCGGAAGTTTTAGGCTTGTTTTTCTCTCGTATAGGAAGTTTATGAGGTAAACAGATTAAGAATTCACGTTGATAACTAGCTAACCTGACTCATCGACAGGGTTCCTACTGGAGCGCTGATCCTAGGCCTGCAGCGTCTGATGGGAGAAACCTTCAGAGAGCGGAGGAGGCGAGAACGCAGAGAGCTTTATGAGCTCAAGCTCAAAGAATGGTGAGATGTGAGGTTGTTAATGTCCCATTTCCTGCTTTAGAGCCTCACTGTTCTGTAGCAGAGGACGGAAAACCACGTGTGGCTCAAAGCTTAAGAACAGCGAAGCACGAGGGCGGCAGCATCATCATGGGGATCTCAGCCCAGGGAGAAATAAGCACATCTTACTTCTCCAGGTTCATTTATTTCAGAAGACTACCAGGAAAACAGTCATTATCTTTTCACAATAAAAGCATGTTTGCACCTCGAAAGTAAAATAAACAAAATCACATTGGTAGTAATTAAAAATGAATTAATAAAATATGTGTGTTATTGCAAGGTCGGCCCGACTGCATATGACCGATGAGTTAATCACCAGTCTGGATGTTGGCTCCCAGTTAGAGGAAACCAGTAAAGACATGCAGAGGATCCAGGAGCTGCTCGGTTCTAACAACAGCGAGGAGTCCAACAACTGAACGCTCTTCAGACGGTCTCGTTAGAAACAAGACTTCGTTTCCTGGGAACGGTGCTGTAAAAATGCCAGGATGTAAAGATTAATCGGTAATAAATCAACAAAATGAAACGTTCAGATTACTGGTGGTCCGAAAATGTTGCAACATTTAAAAATGTAGTTCTGTTTATTTTATTATTTCTAAGGCATTTAAACAAAAACCTGTTTTTTTTTTTTTTTTTTTTTTTTTTGTCGTGATCAGCACTCCCCACCCCCACCCCTCTGTGAAACTGGACACAATGATGTTGCCGTAATTAAAGTTTATTTATGTTTTTAAACACCGTGGGTTGTCTGTTTTTCACACACACACAAATAAAAAACAAATCAGATCTCTGATGGATTTTCTGTGACGGGTCCAAACCTTTAACTCCAGAAAGACTCCACCTCTCTGATAACGCTGAACCAGTCGTCTCTACTCATGCTAAACTTGTCGAAACAAAATCTTCTCCTTTGAAACAACTTGTGATTGTTATTTACTTGGCATCTAGAATCCACCGGCACTGACGCGTAGCTGGCAACAGTCATGTTGAAACTTTCATAACAGTCGACAGGGAGGCATTCTTTGAGAAAAATGGACTGCAGTACCTGGTTTTGACCACAGGGTGTCATTTTTACATATTGCACCTTTAAAGTGGTAAAACTATGATAGACGATTGTTCCAAGAGCTCTACCAAACAGGTTCCCCTCAAACCTGCTGGACTGGACCCTCTACAGGTCCGCTGCCCTCTGATGGAAAGTGAGTACTACAGGTAGACTTGTGCGGTTGTATCAGGGTGTGCATCATTACTCCCACCATAAACTGACAGCACGTGTGTTCATTTCCTTTTATTCCTGGACTTTTGACTTCCTCTTTTATTTCCAACCATCCGTGAGATTTGATGCTTCTGTGTATAAGCAGCGGGGCTTTTCAGCATCTGGGCCCAACGGCCCCTGGTGGAAACGAGAAGTGGCTGAACAGCAGCAGCTGGGGCTCTCGCCGCTGATGTTCAACCAATCAGAGCGCGCCGGTGTGAGCGCTCAGCTGTGATTTCAACCAGAGGTTAATGCTGCACACGAGGGACTTGTGGTAATTTGTCTCAGGTTTTATTTAATTAAAATGTAAAAGAAATGTTATGTGGAGCTAAAAAATGTGTGGAACTTTAAATTAGACATCATCCATGGTTGCTTTTTGACTTAGCTGCTGGTCCAGAGCGTCTACAGAGCCAGACGGATTAAGACATGAGGTTCTTTATTTGATGGGTGTTTGGCTCCCTCTAGTGATGAATCTGTGGATCTGCGGTGTTCTTGGTTTATTCTCTTGTCCTTTTACCAATGCAGAGGCTACTTTCCTTTGACTCGTCTTCAGAAGCAAACAGATGTTTAATCGCGCGTCGTTGGTGGACAGCAGACTGGACTTTGTCCTACTGGGAGTAAATAAATCTGCTGGGTCGTCCTCAGAAAGTTCAGAATGCTGCTGCATGCTTGTATATCACACCCATTCTCCAGTTTGCACTGGTTACCCGTCCCTTTTGAGTGAACTTCCCAGCTTCCCAGTCTTCGTTTACAAGAGCCTTCATGCTCAGGCTCCTGCATACATTTCTGACATGATTACTCCCTAAATACCAGGACGGTCCTCACGCTCCGCTGAATTATCACTGTTGGATGTTCCTGTTGCACGATGGAAAGCTTATGGTCACATGCAAGCCCCTTCCCTTGAGTGTTTTAAGTTTTTGCTTTTAACCCTTGAGGTCGTGATGCCCACCAGTTTGCCAGGACTGATGTTTTTATTGTTTATTCCTTAATTCTTTTTATTTGTCATTATTTTAATTGTTTATCTGTTTTAGTACTGGCTTTTATGCTGTTCAGCACTTTGGTCAGCTCCAATGCTGTTTTAAAGAGTAACTAAACCCCAACATAACCTTTTTATTTATTTATTTTTTTGCTAATTAGCTGTATAATTGGGTCTTTACAAATGCAATATTTTTGTTTCTGTGCATTTTTGACAAGTTTGTGTAAACTTACAGTCATGGCTGCAGTTTTTGCTGCTGCTGCTGAACTCACCCTCTGCAGCTCAACTAGTCACACAAAGTGGGAGGGGCTTAAACCAGAACAGGAAACAGGTTAGGCCAGAAAAAAACTTCAAAATCAAAGAGCACCTGAGTAAATACAGACTGTTGTTTTCACATGAAGATTTTTGTCTAAACTAAACCAATGTGAAAAACCAATAAAATCACGAATTAAAGGTGCAGTATGTAAGAATATATTGAGGATTTTACAGTGAGAAAATCCCAAAAGAGTCTGATGTTTCAGTTGTTTTGGAAGGATGGTTAAACTGAAACATATTTATCTATTTGTCTATATTGTTTTTTATGTTTTATCGAAACATATTTTTATCTAACTGGCTAAGGGGATTGTCAGTTTTTCTCCTTTCAAAACAAGGGGTGGTGGACTACTGTTTACCATCAGTGAGTGTGGGGGTGCCGTGTCTCCTGTGAGCTAAGACTGCAGCGACCATATTTGTAGTTTGACGACAGCCAACAGAAAGCTCCAGAGTTGTTTAACGTGGTTGCAGTAACCAGATCTTAACACAGGATGCCATTTTTATTTCATTTCTACATATTGCACCTTTAACTGTGATTAAACACTATATTTAGGAAGATGAGTTCAGCATTACCAGAACTAGAAGAAATGGGGAGTAAAAGCAACGCCCGTTAATTTCCAATCCATGGGTTCACTACACTATGGGCCCAATCCCAATAGTCGGACTGCGCCCTACGCCCTCTGTGAAGTGCACTTGGAGGAAGTGCGCTGTAAGACTGCGAGTGCGTAGTACACAAGTGTGCAAATAATTGCTGAACTGTGACAGGGAGCATTGTGTCATCGACTGCGATGCGTGCCAGTATGCTGGTCACTGTGATACTTTTTTTAAAATGCATTAACAACAACAACTGTTCGACCAACACATTCACCCTAAGTGTCGAAAAATGACGCGGTGCTGACACACACACACACACACACACACACACTGACGCCCCCAGTAAAACTGAGATTTCACTGACATTTCACCTCTAACCTGTAGCGATTTAACCCTCCCCCCACCCCCATCCTAACCTTAACTCAGTTTGTAAGTCTAAATGTTCCGTTAAGCGTGTTTGAGAGGAACGATGAAACGCAAAACAAAGCTTTGTGGTTAAGGTTAGGATGGAGGTGAGGGGAAGGGGTAAATAGCAAGAGGGTCATAATTTGGTGAAATCTACGTTTTACCGCTGGCGTCGGGCAGCAACGCTCGGGCACAGCGCGTCCCAAAAAGTTTATCGATTAGTTCAATTTTTAAATAGAATTTTGTAATTTTTGAATCGATGCCATCATCGGCTGCTCTGAAATGAACACACCTTTAAAATCTGGTCTGATTCTGTGATTTTAGGTGAGGACATTTTCAACCTGCAGAGGATCGTTCAACACATTCAGAGACACATTAGGAGAAAATGTGCTTCTTGCACTTTTTGACGGTTTGAACCTCCTCCTCACGGGAACCATCTCATAGCCCTGGTGGCCTGTTTCCTCACCTCCTGGGTTTTGCAGTTCAGATATGGCGGCTGAACCAGTGGACCAAAGGAAGCTTCTGGAAGGTCTGAAGGGTGATCTAGAAGCATCAAATACTTCAAAGGCTAAGAGAGGCCATAACAAGGTCAAAGCTCATGCCCAGAGGTGTTCTACAGGTCCAGTTGACCTGGTGAGATCTACTGCAGCTGCTCTGTGTATTTTCCCCAGGTTCTAAACTCGTGTTTGTGGTTCTGTAGGACCGGAAATGGAGGCTCCCAACCCGACTCCTCGTAAAAAGGCCCCTTCTGCTCCTCTGCTGAGGAAGAAATCCAACATCCCTCCCTCCCCTTTCAAGATGCCTAACCCGTTTCCCTGTAAGCACAGCACCTCCTGCTGCTGTGATGGTCCTATCAGCTCTTTGCTGCCCCCATGTGGCCAACTGTGATCTGAACAGGTCCTCTGTTTTCCTCCAGCAGCTCTGGTCCCTTCTCCCCTGAAGCAAAAGCATTTACCGTTAAATGTCCCATTACAACGCAACATAGACATCAGAGTGGAGATCATTCCAGCACCACGGACAGCGCTAGGACCAATCAGCACAACAACAAACATGACCTATTCATAGCTAGAGAAATCAGTCAACGGGGCCAGTCTGCCATACGTCGGAGAAAAAGTAGAAAAGCACCTCTACCAGGTCATGTGTAAAGAAACGCCCAGGTGCAAATCGTTGATGCCAAAGCCATTTCAAACGAGCACCTTTCCTGAGCCACCGCCATCGATGTTTTGCTTTGTCGCCGCTCTGCCGTCATGGTAATAAGCTCGCCCACCCTCTCTCTACAAACATAGGACATTGTGATTAGCCTAGCCTAAACTACCAGACCAGTGGTAGACCTGCTGAGGCTACTGTGGATCGTAACTAGGTCAACCTGCGGAGCAAAGTCTTTTGTTACTGCTAAGGTTTGTCTAGATTTCATACCATAGCTTGGTGTTCGGAAAGAGGTCCGTTTCTAGAATGTCCTGGTGTAGAAGAACAAAGTCAGGCACTGACTCTGTATGCCTTATAGTAAACAGCCATTTACAGTATCGATGCATAAAATGTAAATAGTAGGAACTTGAAGTAATCAATTGTAAATAACTTTTCACTTTATTTTATTATTATAGTTTGAAGAATGCCGTAACTGTCAAAACCAGTGCAGATTATTATACACGTGCAACACTGTTAAACCATTTTTTCAGTAAGATAATTGTAATTTTTCCATGTGTTTATTGAAAAGAAAAAAGCTGACTAATCTTTTACGTCTTTTACGGCGTTCTGTGACTTTCCCGATGGCGTAAAAGACAGCGTTTTGTAGGCCACTCCCAAAGGTTTTCTCAGCCACTTAGTTTAAACTTTGATCGCCCAATCCACGATGAGAACATACAGACAGTAGTTCATCCTAGATGCTATTTCCTGGTTTCCTGAAGATGTCATTTAATGCTTAAATTCACCAAAATGACCTCATATATAGTACTGATTGTTGCATTAGCTCATGTTAAACATGCTTTTATTACTGTTACTTGCATTGACATTAATAAAATGAAGACACTGACACGATCTGTCCCTATTAAATAAACAAAAACACGGACTGACGTGATCAGACTTGTATCAGTTGGATGTATTCACCACTAGGGGGCACCCAGACGTAAACCAAAAGCCACGGGGGGATTTTTCAAAGTGTGTTTTTATTTGTTAGGAATGTAAAATGACTTTCATCATGTTTAACTTTTTTGATTATATGTAAAATTCAATAAAAACGAATAAATACCTAATGGAATTAACTTGTTATTTACATATCTGATATTTTCAGAAGTTCAAGATAAAAGATTGCTTCATTGCACAGGTGTACAACAAATTTGTCTTTGCGCTCACTAAAGACAGCCCATAAGGATGTTGTGAAATATAAGGACAATTTAAAACCCACACCGAGAGCCTTTGAGACAGATTCCCTGTGCTGTAACTGCCTTCTGTAATTTTTTAAATAACATGTCTGTGTAGCAAAAACAAATGTAACTGTCATGTTTTCAGCCTCTTGGCCAGCACCTCCTTTAATATGAGGCTTTTAATCTCAATGGGACCTTCCTGGTTAAATAAAGAATAAATAAACAAGGCTAAAATTTATATCAAGCACGCACACACACACACACACACACACACACACACACACACACACACACACACACACACACACACACACACACTGGATAAAATTTCAATGTTTTAAGAGAATAAATCAAATTTACAGAGTTCCGACTCTACTTCCTTACCCTGTAGTCTAACATCAGTAATTAGATTACATCACGGACCTTAGAGCTGATTCCCCTTTATTTTTCTGTTCATGTTAAATTTGATCCCATACCTGGGAGGTTTAGGGTCAGGGTCTGATACAAACCCAGAGCACACCTGGTGCTAATCTGAGTTGTTGTTTGTTAGTTTAGTTTAGTTTAGTTAGTAGTTTAGTGAGTTAGTAAATCAGTGACCTGGCTGGAGAAATGGAGTAGTGGTGAAGAAGCCAGCAGGGGGCGCCAGCGCCCTTCCTGAGAGGAAAGATGAAGTTCAGAAGCTGCTGGTGAGAAGACTGGACCTCTAACTGGTGTAACTGGTTCACACTTGATGCTAGGCATTCGTAGAACTGAACAATTTGAATAAAAAATGTAGTTGCAAATTTTCTGATAGAAATTGGGATTTAATGTACAGTTACACTTATAAACACGACAGGAAATGACATCATACCATCAAAAAATCTAGACGCTTTCAAATGCATTTATTAATTCATTAACAGTAAACATGCACACGCACATTTAAAGTATTTGTCCGATGACCGTTATTACAAATGTGGGAATTTAAACAAATGGTGCACAAAATGATTTGATTATGGTGACGTTAGATAATACCAATAAATAAATACACAATAAATAAGTAAAAAAAATAAAGAAAGAAAGAAAAATAAAAAAATTCCAGTGAAGAAAGTGTTTTGTCCAACAGTCTGTCAGATCAAGGTCAGTGAGAGCTAGCTGTTAGCATCTGGTTAGGGTTCAACCCCATGAAATACGAGAAAATGGCCTGACCTCTGCAATCTTGTGGCAAACTATTGCACAAAAGAGCAATATTATAAATTTAACCAAATAATATGTCACAGAAATATAGTTTCTACAATTTTTTTTTCTGAGCAGCATTTTCCACACTAAGAACATTTTACACAAGTCAAACCACTTTTTGATTATTCTGCTTCCTGATATCTGTTACGTTATTTATCACAGACTACAACAGCTGAGATTTCTGATTTGTCATCTAGTCAAAGCCCTTTTTGGGCCGAGTAGACCTGTAGGGAAAAAGCTAAGATCAAGTTTACTCATATTTTAATACATTTGCAGTGGCCTCTGGTAGGAATAAATGCCTTGTAAGTCAGGGGGAAATGCTCAGATGTGCCTGTTTGAGGACGAAGAAGTCGGCTGGAGAAGAAAGTAGCTTCAAGGAGGAGAATTAAAAATCTTATTTCCTGATATTCGGACATCTCACCTCTGATTGGATAAGAGCAACATGACACTGACTCTGTTTGCTCTGCAACGCTGATGTTTTACCTCCACAAATAACACCAGCCTGGAGGAGTTCTGCTGTGTTGCGGATCTGCCAATGCTAACGTTAGCTTCTACTAGCTGGATGTTCTCTGCTGTTTTCTGGATGCCAAGAAAACAACAGCCTTTCCCGTCACAAGTTAAGGGTGAGTCCATGAATGTTAATTTGACATTATGACATAGATCTGTCAGACATTTCTGAACCAAGTGTTGTTCTGTTTAAGCTAATGCGGGTGTAGACGGATATTTTCAGCCTGCATGTTAAACTCGGTGGCTGGTCATTTACAAAAATAATAAGTAAAACACGGTTTCTTAGTGAACACGCTCTTCTGTTGCAGAGCGTTGGCCTAGAACCTCTGGATCATGATGATTTGGTGTAAAACCGACTTTATCTTTTCTAATCCCGGTGCAGTAAAACTACTGATCTATAGATAGACTTATATAAAATGTCACCCGTGTTTCTGTCCCTCCACCTAAAGCAGGCTGGGATGTCAGAGGGTGTGGAGGGAAACAAACAAATCTCTAAACTGCTCATTGAAAATGTTTCTGGACCAACTGAGACCCACCCCTGGAGGCTCAGGCCCCCTGACGGTCAGATCATAGGACCTCCCCTGAGACAGGTGTGAGGGCGCGGCAGTAGCTCAGCAGCATCAGCAAAAATTGGTTTAGTTCAGAGAGTGAGCAGTAGGTTGTAATGGGGATGAGTAATTAAAGAGCAGATGTGTCACTTTGGCCCTCCTGCCAGTCTGTAGGACTATTTCCTTTGTGTTTTTTTTTTCCTTTTAATTTGCTTCTACAGACAGAGCGCAACATCTACAGACAGAGCGCAACATCTTCAGCCAGGTTTGTCAGTGTGGAGAGTTGCCATTTCCTGTTGTTACTTTCAAAGTAAAACTTTTTTTGTTCACAGTGACTGCAGTTTATTTTTTCTTGGAAAGATTTTACTAGTTTAATTGAAAGATCCAAACAACTAAAAAAATGGATGTTTTATTTTGCGCCACTCATGCAAAAATATTTTTCTGTTTCAAGATCCAGCCATTTCTTTTCAGCTTGTCCGGAGTTGGGTCTCAGGGGCAGCAGCCCCCGGAAGTCCAGACTCACCTCTCCCCAGCCGCTGATTAGGACAACACCTCCGGGGGAAATCCAAGGTGCTCCATGGCCAGCCCCCAGCGTGTCCATGGAGTTGGATTTCAAGATGGTTGCACATAATTCAGTCGAATATTTATAAATAACACTTTAAATCACTGAACCACATAAAAATGGCCATTATTAACAGATGCTCATAGTGATGCCTAGAATGTTAGCATTTTAGCATTAGCAGTTATGGCTGACGTCTTAGTTCCGTCTACTCTATGTGTGACATTTTAGAAGATTATTGTGTATTGGAAATGGAAATTTTTACATCAGCAACATAAAATGGTAACTAATGGCTTGGCTAAATAAAAGTTAAGACATAATAGCTAAATGAAAGTAGGTTTAACAGCTGCCAGGGAATTTGCTTAAAGTTAGATTAGAAATCAAATGCTTACAGCTAACAGCTAAAAAACTGGAATTTTGTTGACATAATAAGTAATCAACTGAACTGAACATACAAGTTGGTGAACATCCAAATGAGATTTTTTTTCTTGGTTGAAATTTAGGAGTTCTAAATACAACTTTTCCCTGTTATGATTATTAATACTAAATATATTATTTATTTATAACAGAATAACATTTCAAATAAATTCGAGAATAGACGTTCAAAAACTGAGCACTAACCACTTTCTGTCTTTTGAGTTTTATTTTGAAATTTGCATTTCTTAATATCCGGTGTCGCCTCGCTCACAGCGGGTCGTTTGTCTCGGCCGGGCTTTCAGAAGGAGTCTCCCTCCTCCTCCTCCTCCGCAGGGTGTCTGCGGGTCTCCGTCCGTCTGAACGGCTGCTCCTCTCGTCCAGGTGAGACATTGTTGGAGTTCCTCCGAGAAGATGACGGACTCCACGCCGCCGGAAACCGGCGCCATCCCGGACCCGGCCGTCGGTGCGGACTCTAGGGTAATGAACGGGCAGCGTGAGCGGGTGGGTTCCCCTCCGCAACAACAACAAGGAGCAGAGCAGCAGGAGAACACGGAAAGTCAGGGAGAAGGTCTCAACATGGACCACGAGATGAAGATAACAGAGAGCATAGAGGACAGAGGTGGGCGCATTTGTACCTTTATTAACTCACTTAACTAAAACCCCGCTATAAGTACTTGAACCCAAAATTAAAAAAATATTTGGGTTAATCAGAAATTGTGTGTTGCAGTAATACGTTTGAAGGGAAATTACTAAAGAATAAAAATAAAGTGTTAAATTTTCTCCTAGACATCAGTGGGAGTTATTTATTTATTAAACTGTTCTGTTATCCTAGGCGGGTAGAGTTAGTAGATCTGAGGGCCTTAAAATGTCAGATTTAGTCTGAAAACAGGAGCAGGAAGAGAATCAGGTGAGAAAACCTGAACTCCTCTGGATCCACTAATGATTTTAAATATTTTACAAAATTTTACTCCCATACATTTTTATAGCTCCCTGCCAGAATACTGCTGTTGTGTCCTTGGGCAAGGCACTTTACCCACCATACCTGCTAGTGATTATTGGAGGGACTGGTGGCACCAGTGTTCGGCAGCCTCACGTCCTTCATTGCTCCCCAGGGCAGCTTTGGCTACAACGTAGCTCATCCCCACCAGCATGTGCATGACTGAGTGTGTTGTAAAGCACCTTGGGGGGCTGTAGAACCCTATGAAGGAGCTATTCATTTACAGACCATTACCAAATGTTGTATTTTCTTCTAAATTGGATGTAAAGCGTCTTTCTAACTAGTCACATCTACGACACTAAAAAAATTAAAATGTACACATTTAGGGCTGCAACAACGAATCGATAAATTCGATGAAAATCGATTACTAAAAGCGTTGGCAACGAATTGCGTCATCGATTCGTTGTGTCGCACAACTCTTCCAAAAGTGCCCCCCCTTCCCGCCCGCCATTGCGCGCAGACCAGAGCAAGTCAGATCAGCGCGAGGGAGAGCCGCAGATCAGCGCGAGGGAGAGCCATAGCGTTGCCATAGTGTGACGTCATAGGCACAGATCCCCTGTCCTCTTGTTTGGAAATGGAAATATGGTCACCCTACATTAAACAAACTGTCCACCCGGTCACACTATGGCAACGCCACACAAACCACGTTGGGACCCATTTTTTGTAAGAACTAAATTAATATCAGATTCTGCCAATTAAAGGGCTCTAAAACAATTCATATCTAAATATTTTGTATATTTAATGCAAAATCTCATTTTTCTGCTTTAGTGCTGCAACAAGGTTTTATTAATAAGAAATTATTATACCTTTTGTTTTACTACAGCATCGGTACGCTTCCTGTGCACAGATTATTAAGGATGCTTGTTTCAGCTGTGAGATTAGACGATAGGATCAATGAAAAAATAAGTTGTCCCACTCCATGGAAACTTTCAGAGAATCCACAAATAGTGGCTTTCAAATGATTTTGTTACTTTTTGCAAGTTTAGAAAAGCAGCAGATGAGACAGCATGTCTGATCATTTAGTTTTTCATTTGATAATATTAGAACATGTCAGTAATGTCTGAGGGGCTTTTATAAACACCATATAACTAACACTCCTGGAGAGGGCATGAATTACACAGAGGCTTCTGGGGAGCCCAGTTATTGGGGGGGGGGGGGGGGGGCATTTTGCCTTGGCCCCCAAAATGTCTTGAAACGGCCCTGGGTGTGTGACTGAGTTTTGAAGGTGATCTGAATTGTATCAGATGTATAAATATTACATGTGTATAACTTATTGTTTTATACAGGTAAAAACGTGTAGTGGAGATAAATCTACCTACATTTTACTTTTCAACACTTTGTTTTGTTTTCTTGTTTTTATTTAACTATTTTCCTGTCCTGTCTGTCTCTCATCTTCCTGCATCTCCTCTTAATTCTCCAGAAAATCTGTTGCCTGGATTCTTACCTTTTCACCTCATCAGTTACTTTTGAGCAGATCAAAGAGATCTCCTGACCGAAAAGCGGAGAGTGCGTTTTCGATGCTGCGTGAGGTGAAATCACCACAGCACAGGTGATGAGCTCCGCAGCAGAGCGCTTCAGGCACAAATAAGACAGAAAATAGAGAACATGTGCGGACATGAACGATCGTGTGCTAATTATAGTTTTTTGGTTGCGCCACTTTGAGAATGGACCGTGCGCTGGAAGCAGCTGCCTGGATCGCTGCGCAACAATGCGGAACCGGTTCGCAGCAGCGCAAGTCTGCAGGCTCTCCCTCGCGCTGATCTGCCGGCTCTCCCTCGCGTTGATCTGCGGCTCTCCCTCGCGCTGATCTGACTTGCTCTGGTCTGCGCGCAACGGCGAGCGGGAAGGGGGGGCGCTTTTGGAAGAGTTGTGCGACACAACGAATCGATGACGCAATTTGTTGCCAACGCTTTTAGTAATCGATTTTCATCGAATTTATCGATTCGTTGTTGCAGGCCTACCTATGACTGAACGTCAGTTGAGAGTCAGTCTCATGCAGACTGACCAATGAAGAGAGGGCCTCAAGTTAAGACCCTCTCCTCATTGGTCAGTCCACACGAGGTGGGTCAAAGGTTACTCTGGGCGGGTTACCTGTTGTCAGGCATTCAAGTATTGAGTATATTTACTGCATATTACAGTAAAATATTCTGTATGTGACCACATTATGGTGATCCTCGGGTCGTGATGATGGAGCCCTTGAATATTGTTGCCCAGGGTACAACAAAGTGTTAATCTGGCCCTGGTTCCGCTGTCACATTCCCGCAGAAACTGGTTGATCACACCGGGGCCAGACTACTAGCATGTGGTTTTACGACCACAATGTCCTCAGAAGCAAAAACGCTTTTAAAAGGGAGGGAGGAGTCCTAACTGTTGCTGCAGGCGTGTTGTGTGAGAGTGCAGTTATATACTGGTTAATATATTTTTGGGTTCAGTTGCTTTCATGTGGCCTAATGTGAGTCTATTTGGGATCATTGGAATGATCAGCAGCATTTCTTGATGTGACTTTATGGCAGTTGCCCAGGGCATCATCGCAAGGAGAATGGCATTCATTTACTTTTGTTTTATTTGGTATTTTTTCAGTCATTTTTGGAAATAGTGATCAATTTTGATTAATTCACAGCCTATGTTTAATTACATTTAAAATAAATGTCAACAGATGAGATCAAACAAAACAGATGAGAATTGCCCTTAAGCTGTTTAACTTGGACCAAGCATTTTAGGTCACAGATAGATGTAGCTTAGGGTCTCTGTCTATACACCTTGTAAGACAATTTAGGTGATGGCATGTTGTTTTTCTGCTATTGAACTGTTTTCTAATAATGTTGTGTTAAATAAAGTGAAGGAAGGAGAGAAATAACGTTTCCCTAGCAGTTTTTAAAAATTTCCCCATGTAATCCGATTAATCGATTAATCGTGTCGAGACCCCATCCGATTAATCGATTATCCAAATAATCGTTTGTTGCAGCCCTATACACATTGCAACCTAAAGTTTTGTCTGCTAGCAGCTGTGCGGCTGAAATGTACTTTTAGCCACTCCTTTCCACTGGACGCAAGGGTCGCAAAACGTACTTCGCACAGTTAGCCGCCGTTATGGTGGACCGCTTCAGTTCCATTGTCCCAGAAGCATTCATGTTCATTTTGTACGCTGTACGCTTCCAGAACTTGGTTCAGATCAGGCCAGGTAGGAAGTCAAACACAAAGCAGAGTAAAACAACGGAAACTTTCAAAATAAAAGTCACGTGCAGATTTCCACTTGCTTAACTTGTAAAAAACATACGACATTTCCTGTGAGACCTCAGTAGCTCAGGTAAACAGAACAGAGAACAAGCCACAAACCTTTTTGTATGCATTCAGCCATCTTTCTCCTTGCTTGTTATTGTGTGAACTTCAGTGTCTATTTAACATGGACGTAATTTTCACTTTAGAAGTGGTGGGGACACAGGGGTGTGTGTGTGTGTGTGTGTGTGTGTGTGTGTGGGTATCTTTACAGTATGCTCTAATGGGAAACAGGCTTTTCCGCTTGGTCCTAGAGCTCAACCAGTGTCAATTTAATATAGTGTAATATTGTTTTTGGATGGTAAAAAGTGCAGGGGTCAAAACTTGACTTTGGAAAAAGTGTGTGTGTGTGTGTGGGGGGGGGGGGGGGACATGTCCCCCCCTGTCCCCCCCAAAAATTATGTCCATGCTATTTAATATAGCATAATTTTTTTTTTGGATGGTAAAAAGTGAAGGGGACAAAACTTGACTTTGGAAAAAGTGAGGGGGCATGTGTCCCCCCCCAAAATAATTACGTCCATGGCCTCTAATATGTTACACATGTCTGGTGGAAAGGAGGGGTGACCCTGCGTTCTGTCCTTTTTTGCCTCTCATGTTTGCTGAATGGGAGTGAGAGACATAGCAGTTTCCATGGTAACCCTAATGAGCCACTGGCTGCAGCTTTAACCTTTCTTTCGATTGTGGTTCTTTAGACATCTTAAACATGAATTTTGTTTTTAGTTTAGATTATCGCAAAAGTGATGACATTTTGTGCAGTATCTGGAAGGAACCTTCCTAAATGTCTTGTGAAACGTTGCAATTAGTGTTTTACAGGGGTTAAAAGTGCTGCAAAATGACCACAGGAATCTTTTCTAGGTACTCCGTTATTGCAATTTTTTTTGTCCATTTTTGATGCAGGAAACAGGGAGTAAACAAATTCTCAGAGGACAATATTTACCCTCAAAAAGGGACTTCTGATGCTAAATAGTGATTTTCTGACATTCAAAGCCAATAATACAAGTTCATTATTAATCATCATTAAAAGCCCAGTTTACGTCATTTCATAGAGCAAAGTGATGTTATCTAAAACTGGCTAGCAACTGGAAACTAGTCAGTATTTAACTCTAATAATCATAAATGAGCTTATTAAAGTTAGATCCCATCCCAAATGAAACCTTGTGGGTTATTTCTACCCTGTGTTGTTGTCTGCAGGTCTGCTGGAGAGCAGCATGCGCCTGAAGCCCCACGAAGCCCAGAGTTACAGAAAGAAGGCCCTGTGGGTGTCCTGGGCGTCCATCGTGGTCACCATCATCCTGGCTATCGCTGCTTTCAGTGAGTAAAGGTTTTCAAACGAAACCAAACCGCTCACGCTTTTAGTGGAAGGACAGGTTTGGTAATTAGTGTCGCACCCTGCTGATCCACCCAACATCTTGACCAAACATTTGTCATCCAAAGACAACATGAAGAAATACAAACTCAAATAGCTTCTGTGAGAATCCTCTTTTGCTTAAACGGTTTGATTTTATGACTCACTAAACTTAATGGAAATTAGCTGCCAAGCTAGCCATCTCCACACTGGTTAACAGTCAGTAAACTCTACCAGAGGAACTGTGAGGAGTGACATTTATGGCATTTTAAATGAAATATTTGCATAAACTGTTAAGAAAATGTTGATATTGGAATTGTTTTAAAGTAGTTTTTTTATTAAACACTCAATTTATTTTTCCTCTTAAGCTGATGACTTAAGTTTTATCAAAATAAGAGCATGAAGACACACCCTTGACACACTCAGAAAGCATCACCCTTCAGGGAACAACGGCGTACGATCTGTCTCCTTACCAATCCTTCCATTCTTACAGGCCATAGTTGGATATTTGACCAAATATCGTTCTTATCTTATAATTAAGGGTTTTAACTTTTTCCGTAGAAATTTTAGATCACGTAAAGCCTAAAATAAAACAGTTCACGTTTTAAAGAGGCTGCAGACACCCATTCCCATTAGCAGGTGGCAAAATTGTGATGTTTAGTGGAAATTTAAACCTGAATGGAATAAATTATTAGACTAAATTAACTTTAGTCACAGTAGAGCGAATGCAGACGACCATTTAAAAAGTCAACATCAGACCTTTTTAGGATCAGAATCAAACAAATGAGTTTAGACACCTACTAGTTAAATAAAGAAAAGAGGGACTATAAAAGTAGAGAAGAGCTGCTGCGCATGTCCTAACATGAAGTCAGGGTACATAAAAATGTGTTTTTGCAGGAACATCAATGCTTAGAAATAGAACATAAATATATTTTTGGACGGATCCAGCCATGCCAGTTTGTTTTGCCCTCGTTCTGCCGTCTTTTGGAAGGCGCAACAAAATAAGAGCATGCTTGCAAAGTTAAATATTAAATAAATGTTGTGTGATTTGTTTAGTAAATTAGGCAGTTTGGAGGTGAAACTGGATCAGTGTGTCATAACTGTGACTAGCAATTAGCTTGTCTGTCTGATCATGACTGTGTTTTCAAACTGAGGCTGTTCTACAACAGAAGATAATGATTGCTCATAATCCTCCACAGAAAGATCTGAACTACCCAATAAGAGGAAAAGCCAGTGATACGTCGTTAGTTCAATTTTTTAATGTCTAAACTGGAACGAAGATCTAATTCATGTTTGATCGTCTTCGCTTCGTTAAACCGACGTTAAAGCCGTCGTCGTCGTTTTCCTCCGCTTATCCGGGTCTGGGTCGCGGGGGCAGCATCCCAACTAGGGAGCTCTAGACCGTCCTCTCCCCGGCCTTGTCCACCAGCTCCTCCGGCAGGACCCCAAGGCGTTCCCGGACCAGATTGGAGATGTAACCTCTCCAACGTGTCCTGGGTCGACCCGGGGGCCTCCTGCCGGCAGGACATGCCCGAAACACCTCCCCGGGGAGGCGTCCAGGAGGCATCCTGACCAGATGCCCAAACCACCTCAACTGGCTCCTTTCGATCCGGAGGAGCAGCGGTTCTACTCCGAGTCCCTCCCGAATGTCCGAGCTCCTCACCCTATCTCTAAGGCTGAGCCCGGCCACCCTACGGAGGAAACTCATTTCGGCCGCTTGTATCCGCGATCTCGTTCTTTCGGTCATTACCCAAAGCTCATGACCATAGGTGAGGATTGGGACGTAGATCGACCGGTAAATCGAGAGCCTGGCTTTCTGGCTCAGCTCCCTCTTCCCCACGATAGATCGGCTCAGCATCCGCATCACTGCAGACGCCGAACCAATCCGCCTGTCGATCTCCCGATCCCTCCTACCCTCACTCGTGAACAAGACCCCGAGATACTTAAACTCCTCCACTTGAGGTAGGACCTCTCCCCCGACCCGGAGGTGGCAAGCCACCCTTTTCCGGTCGAGAACCATGGTCTCAGATTTGGAGGTGCTGATCCTCATCCCAGCCGCTTCACACTTGGCCGCGAACCTACCCAGCAAGAGCTGAAGGTCAGAGCTGGATGAAGCTAGGAGGACCACATCATCCGCAAAAAGCAGAGACGAGATTCTCCTGCCACCAAACTCTACACTCCACACCACGGCTGCGTCTAGAAATTCTGTCCATAAAAGTGATGAACAGAACCGGTGACAAAGGGCAGCCCTGGCGGAGTCCAACCCTCACTGGGAACAGGTCCGACTTACTACCGGCTATGCGGACCAAACTCACGCTCCTCTGGTAAAGGGACTGAATGGCCCTTAACAGAAAGCCACCCACCCCATACTCCTGGAGCGTCCCCCACGTTAAAGCTCCAGATATTTTTAGATCTTTGACCCACGTGTCCTGAGATGAAAGAACATGAATTTTGCTGCTTACATTTATAATTTAGTGCCATAAATCTGTGTCACACAGACCCTGGTTCTTCTTCTACTGCTGCTTTAAATGCAGACTCGTGCCTGACACCAGCGTGGTTTGCTGCGAACGCCGTGACGCTGTTTCTGAGAAAAGATAACAGAAATGTAGCTCCCTCCAACCGAGTGCTGCAGTAACAGGAAGCAGATTTAAGTTTCTTCTGATAAACAACATTTCCATGTGAGCACACACAACACTCTCTCCTCCTGTATGCAGGCTTTTCATTAGACTCACTGCTGCCGCTCATTAATGAAACATGACGCTGCTCCCAGATCAGCTGCAGAAATGAGACATGGACGAGGAGGAAGTGATTACTGAGTCGTTACACACACACACACACGCACGCACACACACAAACACACACACACACACACACACACACACATGCGCGCGCGCGCGGTCGCACACGCTGCTTTGTATTATGGCAACCCCTAAAAATCAGCAAACAAACACAAAGGTAATTAATCTCAGTTATTTAGGAGTATCTAAATAAAACACAGCTGGATTTTATAGTTTTTCTCGGGATCAGTTGGTGAAGTCGTCCATCAGTTTGATAGAAAAGAGACAAAAATGTATTTTTTTAGGAAATCAAGGAGAGAAAGATTCAGTGTTTAATACAGTTTGAACAATACGTTTCTTTTTTTCATTTATTTATTATTTATGATTCAAGTGTCACAAAAACAAAAACAAGTGTTTATGTCATTTTATTATATGAGAACAGCTCTGAGCATTCGTACGAACAGCATCCAGTAGTAGAACGCGGGAACCACACACACGTTCCTCTTCCATAAAATATTTTACCCAATAAATAATTATGTTGGTGGAAAAACAGCTTTTTCGCATAATTGGTGCTAAAACCAATAAAAGCCACATGTGACTGACGGGAATCTGACATTGCATCATGGCTGATCTGCGTTGGAGGATTTGGCATAGCGTGCACTCTGGAGGGAACGCGTCCTTCATGAGCGCACCGATCTCCCCGAAGGAGATCCTTCTGGAGCTGCGCTGTGATTCGGGACCCTTTGTTGAGTGACGCTTATCCAGGATTCAAATTACGGGAGAGCTAAGGCGAGCCCAGCTCACCTGAAAGGGTGCAGGGCTCTCCTGGAAGCCCTCAACGCACACACCCAAGGTGAACCCAAAAGATGCTAGTTCTACTTATATCACATTTTCTACGTGGACTCTCCGGGGAGGTCCTACCTCAAGTGGAGGAGTTTAAGTATCTCGGGGTCTTGTTCACGAGTGAGGGTGGGAGGGATCGGGAGATCGGCAGGTGGATTGGTTCGGCGTCTGCAGTGATGCGGACGCTGAGCCGATCTGTCGTGGTGAAGAGGGAGCTAAGCCAGAAAGCCAGGCTCTCAATTTACCGGTCGATCTACGTCCCAATCCTCACCTATGGTCATGAGCTTTGGGTAATGACCGAAAGAACGAGATCGCGGATACAAGCGGCCGAAATGAGTTTCCTCCGTAGGGTGGCCGGGCTCAGCCTTAGAGATAGGGTGAGGAGCTTGGACATTCGGGAGGGACTCGGAGTAGAACCGCTGCTCCTCCGGATCGAAAGGAGTCAGTTGAGGTGGCTTGGGCATCTGGTCAGGATGCCTCCTGGACGCCTCCCTGGGGAGGTGTTTCGGGCATGTCCTGCCTGCAGGAGGCCCCCGGGTCGACCCAGGACACGTTGGAGAGGTTACATCTCCAATCTGGTCCGGGAACGCCTTGGGGTCCTGCAGGAGGAGCTGCTGGAGGTGGCCGGGGAGAGGACGGTCTAGAGCTCCCTAGTTGGGATGCTGCCCCCGCGACCCGGACCCGGATAAGCGGAGGAAGACGACGACGACTCTTCGGGGATTCTTTTGAGCAGAGAGGACGTAGAGCGCTGATCGTAGATGTGTTCCAGGCACCTGCGTCCTGCACACGGCCACAGTAACATTCTAGAGTGTCAGAACACCAAAAAATATATATAATTAACACACGATTGTTTATGTCGGCTCATATGCTCTGGTGCTTTCTGTCTTTTATTTGTGCCTGAGGTGCTCAGCTCCACAGCAGCGAAGCGCATCACCTGACTACTGCTAAGTAGGCGGCCGGCGCACACCCTGGTGTTTTTGCGGTCGGTAGATCCCTTTGATCTGCTTAGTTCAAAAGTAACTCGAGAGGTAAAAATATAGGAAGCCAGGCAGCAGTTTTTCTGTAGGATTGAGCGGAGCTGCTGGAAAAAAAGACAGACAGGACAGAAAAATAGTCAAATTAAAAAAAAGAAAACTAAAGAAGGTGTTTGAAAAGGAAAATGTAGGTAGATTTAGCCCACTACCTTTATAAAGCAGTCATTTATAAGCATGTAATATTTATTTATTTGATACAATTCAGATCTCCTTCAAAGCTCAGTCCCACGGCCTTCTCAAGGCATTTTGGGGGGACAAGCCCCTCCATCTGACCGGGCTTCCCCGGAAGCCTCTGTGTAATTCCTACCCTGGATTTCTCATAATCAATGTCTTATTTATTCCTGATGGGAACATCTCCTCTGTCCCAACCGCGTTTTTAACCTCTGCAACTTGTTTGGTTCTTTTGCGCTTTGGCAGCCAGTGTCTCGATCTCGCTGTCAATAAAGTTTTGGGGTTTTCTGGGTGGAAATCCCAGGGAATTCCCTCACATGCTGAGGACGTAGCGTGACCAAATATGATTAATTGAGGGTGTTTCTGTATGTAAATGACTGAGAACGGACGCAAGCACCTGGGTAAGCACAGGTGGGATTTATCATCAGACGATCGCGGAGGAACATGCGTGTGAGAGGCCACCGCGCGTTTCATATCTCAGGATTTTGACTATTCATGCACACATTCTAAATTTCATTCATAGAAATGAAATAGGACAGTTTCTATGAACGTTTGATAACTGAGAGCCCAGGACTCAATTCTGGTCCAAGAGTGAGATCTGGGGCTGGTGCACACGCTGATTAGCACATTAGCCTCAGTGTTTTATCTAAATGAACAATACTCCAAACACATGATCAAACAGACAACCATCGGAACGTCCTGTCTTCTCCCGCTTGTCAGATGAGACGAGAGAGACCATGACTGTTCATGTGAGCATAGATTTGTGTGAGCCCCTCCCATCGGCATCCTCAGGGAGCCAATTAGCCATCAGGGTTCAGCGTTGACGATCTGCAGCTGACTCATTTCCACCGAATTCATTCTTTCTCCTCCTAATGAGGAAGAGAGAGGTGCTTTGTTCTCATCAAGATACATTAAAACTAAAAAGGGTGTATAACTCATGAATACGTCAAAACCGCACTCCGTGAAAAAGATTTCTATTGACAGAGAAAAGCGATGCGTCACTATGTAAACGTCTTAAAGCTACAATGGCGATTCTGCATCTTCGTGCCTCTTATCAACAGTCTAACATAGTATAGCTATATATTAGGGATGTTAGAAAATATCGATATGGCATTATGTTGCGATATTTTTTCCTGCAATATTATATCGATATTCAAACGCTGTGTATTGAATTTTTGGAAGAATTTACATGCAAACATTTGTGTTTTTTCTTTTCCTTTGGTGCAATTCAAACGCCGACCGCTAGTTGGCAGCAGTGTGCGGTTGGTCTTGTTTCCACCACTGAAATGTAAATCCCTCTATTATGGTTCAGATACCTCATGTTAAACATGTTACGTATCTGAATTGTCCTACAGTAATTTCTAAAAAAAATCGCTAATATTGTCTGGCTGAATGTGTCGTAATATGTCTTAATACACATCCCTAATATAAATTTAATGTGGAGAAAAACAAATTATTGAAGTGGTTTTCTTGCATTTGTCTTAAACCCAAAATCACGGCTCGGACCAACAACGACGATTGGTCTCGCTGAACCACCGCACTTCCGCATTTACCTGGCTACTCCACTCATTGCACACTCGCGTGTTTAGCAACACAACACCACTGGTGTGAGAGGTTCTCCGCTCAATAGCATCAGAAAAGGAGAAACAGCTGGCTGCTACCACTTCAACTTTTGGACAAACTACGAGTCCTAAAGAGAAAAAGCTCCGTTTGAAGTCACGGGCAACAAAAGACGTTTTGACTTAGAAAAGAGCGATGGGTGTTTAGCGCTATCTTGTTTCTTCTGGCAATGCGGGTTCTTAGGGAAGCTAGGCAATGGGAAGGGCGAGAGTTCTGTGACTGTGTTTGTTTGTTTACTGAATTGCTATTGCAGCTTTAACATTGGACTAGTCATTTGCTTTACTTTACCTACAGGTGAGTGTACCCTCAATTCTTTATGTGCTTTCATTGTCAGTTTTCACGTATGCTGATGATGTTTTTTCATCCTTATAAAACCAGCAACTCCACCCAGGTTGGTTTAAGGTTCCCGCAGCCGTCCCTTGTTTTCCTGACTTCATGGTTTTCTCCACAGAGACATCTTGTATTGAATCACTAGGAAGTAAAAACCTAAAAAAAAAAAAAAAACAAGCAACTTTTAGAGTAAACCCAATTGAAAATGGTCACCTTAGCTAGAGGAAACACAAAACTGTTTCCAAATTCAGGCCTGCATCCTTTGAGTGATCTGTTTGACTCTGGGTCTAGAAAAATCACCTCAAGGCTGGATTACTCTAACTCCTGCTTATACGGCATCAGTAAAGCAGCTCTTTCTAGACTTCAGCTGGTCCAGAATTCAGCAGCTAGGTTGCTGACTGGAGCTGACAGAAGATAACACATTTCTCCAATTCTGAAATCTCTCCACTGGTTGCCCGTGCAGTTCAGGATAAATTTCAAAATTATGCTTCTGACTTACAAATCCTTGAACCATCAAACTCCTCCATATCTGTGTGAACTTGTCCATTACTACAACCCGCCGCGTGCTCTCAGGTCCGAAGATAAGCTCCTCCTAGCTGTTCCCAATGCACGTTTAAAAAGCCGTGGAGAAAGGGCTTTCTCTCTCTGTGCACCAAAGCTGTGGAACGCATTACCACTGTTAGTGAGGCAAGCACCAACAGCTAGCATTTTTAAATCACGCCTGAAAACTCACTACTTCAACCTAGCTTATACCACATAATTATGACCATCACTTACAACTTCATTGTTTAAAAATGGAATTCACAATATCAACTTCCGTACTACTGAGGTTCTTTTTTAAAATGTTTTTCTAATTTTTTATTCTCCCTGTGTCTTGATTTTTAGCTTTTAGTTTTGGGAATTTTGTTGTATTTCCTTTTTATCTTTTATCTGTGTTCGACATGATTGTATAACGCCTGTTTAATTAACTAACAATTTTAGTGTACAGCGCCTTGTTTGGTTGTAATGCCTTGTGAATGCGCTTTATAAATAAAATTGGATTGGATTGGCAATCATATCACAATTTATGTTTGGCAAAAATCACGATTTTATCACGATTTTTCCATTTCAACAATGCTAACATGAATTTCATCTAGAGGTGGCTCATACCCTACCATCCACAATATTATCAGTAATTATTTTTGTTCAGAGAAAAAAATCCATCATGTTAAGCTAAATTCATGATGTATTTGCATACCGTACTCAGAGGATAAAACCACCGCTATTTTGGCTTCACTGCTCTCCGTAGCTGTTTCCTGACTGGGCGTGGGTTTGGCCCGTCTCCCTACACAGACGGGATCAACAGATCTCCGGTCGGCAGCCACGGTGAAGAGGCTCGCACGAACAAACGTCGTAGTGTAGTTTGAAATTCATTAGCTTGTAACAATTAGTAATTAAAAGGACTACAAATGCAGACGCCGCATATATGATGTCACCACAGAATCTCGTCTCCCCCAGCGTAGCTGCTACTTACCACATGCCAGATTTATAGTGGCTTTCTCCACGTTTACTGCTCCTTCTGTCGTCCTGGAAGAAGGATTAGAAGCTTGCTAAACTCACAGCCATTTTTATTCTCCTCTCCATTGTAGCTCTCCATTTGTAGTTCCAAACGCGTTTTCATTCAAAACCTAAAATGACTTTTGCCGCCTGTTGAAAATAAGCGCTTTCTTGGCATCAAAATGTGTCTTTAACATTCACAAACGGCAGCAGACCCATGGTCCATAAATATCGTGATAACAATGTAAACCCACTTGTTCTGTCATCACCTGGCTCACTGCAACACCTACGGGAAGCAACATTCAGCGCAGGAGCGTGCTGGATTTGACAGTTTGCATCCTTGATGTGTCACAATATTCAATACATCATCCATGTCATTTATCAGGTCTGGTTCATCTGTTTGCATTTGTTCAGGATGGATTCTGAGACTAAATTAAACCAGTGGTGTTATTCCTGCTGAGTCTGCAGATTTTAGGTGTCACAACAAGATCCCGCCCACTGAGGACCGGGACCTTCCGGCTAAATGAAAAAAGGGGGATAGAAGGAGCTGGAGATGCTGGCTCTGTATGCAGGACTGAAAGAGGCTTCAAGCCTCCTGTGAGGTTTCTAAAAATAACCACATGAGGAGGACTCCTCTCATGCACCGCACCAGTTTTTATCTCTTCGCACCATTCTATCTGTATTCTCACTCGCTCACTTAAGTCCTGTTTATGCCCGACTCTGCTCTGTGTCTCCTAGCTGTCTCCATCATGCGCCACAGCGCCTCGGCGTTCGGATTCGCGGTAAGTCTTGTACAAGTCCCACATACAGCTAGGAACAGCACGGAGTGGCGAGGTGAATGTTAAACTGCGTTTCGTGTTCCCTCTGCAGTTTGACGCCACGCTGGACGTGCTGTCGTCTGTCATCGTGCTGTGGCGCTACAGCAACGCAGCGGCCGTCCACTCTGCACACAGAGAATACATGTGAGTCCACGAGTGAAGGGACAAAAGCCCGCCGAGTGTGTGGTAGAGACTTGTCCCGCAGGAGCATCAAGTAATTGCTGTAGATTGCACAGATGAGATTATGTCCTCTGGAGAGGAGGCAAACTAAAAATAAAGATTCAGAACACGTCAAACACAAAGATACAGAATGCTAGCATTTATAAAAGATACATTTTATTTACTTGGTCATTTGCTTAATAACTTAACATTTTGTTTCATTTCTTGCTTTTGTTCCAAATATTGGGAGAACAGACTAATTTAGAGGCTATCTTACCATTATCGCAAACATTTTTCTTATAGTTTAAAAAAACTGATGTATAATTACACATAAAATCCATGTTTCTGTTTATTTCTGGTCTACTTCCAGAAGAAAAATCCAATGACGTGCTAATCTTATGTGAAAGAGTGTGATTTGATCGCCATTGGGATTTTGGTCAAAGCAGGGATAAAGCCCCGCCTCTTTTTTGGGCTCAGGCACTCGTCACAGCAGAAGCATCAGCTAAAGCTTAAACAGGTCACACAAAGGTGGACTTTACACGACTGAATTTATGTTTTTTTATGGTTTTTGTACAACGAAGTTTAGGTTTTTGATGTCTCATTTGGATGATGTCGCACTAATTTTTGCAGTCTGAAATTCTCAAAAACTCTGCAAAAAATTCTTAAGTAATGCCTTCGGAGTTGAAGCAAAGAGCTAAAAACCGAAGTGAACAACGGCACAGCCTACACTTGTTTGAGGGAGCTGAAAAGGGTTATGAAATCATGGACTGATGATGACCTGACTTTGTTGTTATTGGACTAATATTGGAGTAATGATTTTTTTTAGGGATGTCCCGATCCCGAGATTGGATCTGGCAGTTTATAAAATTTTTTTTTTTCAGTCATCCGAGATCAGCAATTATAATTGACAAGTCTTGCAAATTTCCCCTAAATAGACTATGAGCACGTTAGCATATGCTACTTCCGGGGAAAACAGTCCTGTAGAGTGCTCCTTTTCCTGTGTGATAATCTCACCCTGTAGTCAGGTTTTCCAAAAAAAGACAACCAAATGGATGACGAATAAAGCGGCGAACCCCAGAGTCTGCTACGAGTTTGTTCATCCACGTCTCCGTAACAAAACATCAAGCAGCCGCGTCAGCGCTGAGAGTTTGCCCATTTTGTTAGGGAGCGAGCGGACATTTCCCATAATCAAGAAGGGTAGATATGGTTTTTAGCTCTGTTCCCTCTCCAGAGCTGAATTCTGGAGGCAGAACCGGGTTTCTGTGGAGAGCAAGTAACCATAAGCAACACCCACAGCTGATCCCTGCAGTAAACAATCAATTCATTTCCCAGAGCCCTCCCAGAAAGTTCCAGAATCGGTAAAAAATGAACTCCATTTCCTCTTCTGGAGCTTACGTTCCGCTCTGCTGAATCTTCATTTCTCCATAATTCTGGAGGCAGAACCGATGTTCTCCGTGGAGAAGTGAGCTGCAGTCAGAGAGCTAGCGTTAGCTGCGCCCACCTTAAGGGCATTAAAACATGCACAGAAGAAAAAGCAAAAAAAAAAAAAAGAGTAACGAAACGAGAGCTGCTGTTATTGGCTGCGGCCCACCTCGTGCTCTTTGTAACCGAACGCGATCAGTCCTTTTTAGTACTTTGGAGCCCATCTTCAAAGTAGGGATGCAACAATACCACTGTTTTCCAAACCGATACGATACGATACTTGGATCTGAGTACTCGCCGATACCGATTACCGATACCAATACTTCTACCACACACAAAATGCAATGAATTGGAATACAGCTTTTATTTTCTTCTCTGTTTTCAACAGGAAAAGACTGAGGTAGATAAAAAGTAAAATATTAGGTGAACAGAAATGACAAGTTACAGTGAAGTAACTTTCAAGCAACTGCATTGGTATCAGTTACTGGTATCTGTTAACTTTAACTGATACCGATACTGGTGTCGATATCTGTACCGGTACCGATACCTGTATTGGTATCGGTGCCGATACAGATATTGATACCAGTATCGGTATCGGTGCGTCCCTACTTCAAAGTAGCAATTCACCACAGAAAAAAGCTATCTGAAATATAACTCTACATCCGATCTCAAGACAGGAAGTCGATTTCATGGGATTTACAACAATGAGGGTAATACTTATGAATGAAATCAGTCTTAGAAAGTTAACTTGGGTTACTTGCTTAAAATAAATTTCAGCTTTATAAATTTCAATAGAAAAGGCAAACTATCGGATCGGGACTCGACATCGGATCGGAATCGGAAGCCTAACGTGCTGAACGGGCCGTCCTTACATTTTTTTTGTCCAACAGTGTGGATGTTTTTAACTTGTGGTTTATTTAATATCAGTCGGCTCTTGTTAGCGTTAGCTCGTTGTTAGTGCTAGCTATAGCAGGGTTTATCACGATAGTTGTAATTCAGCTTTCAACCAGTAGGACGGAGAAGCTGGAAACTGTTTAGTGTTACTTGAGTCATTTGTTTTAGGCAAAATGTTTGGTCTGCTTGTAATTAGGTTTGATTTCAGGAAGTAAAAAGGAAGCACAGGTGTGTGGTTACCATGGTGACACTAATGACCCACTGGTAGCAGCTTTAACATTTTGATGTCATGAATTTTGCCTTTCTGCCCATGTTTCAGGCAACAAAACAGATTTAGTTACGATTTTCATTTTAAGCATACTTAAAAGCAGTTTTTAATTCTTTGAACCACTGAGATGATGGAAGGAAATAACAGTTTAGATACATTAGATATTTTGGTCAGCTTACACCGTTTTCTTTCATTTTACGCGATAAACTTCAAGATTGTTTTATTATAGAAAAATAAAGCCTAAGTCTATTGATGTGAAGATGAGAATGAAAGCAAAACATGTTTAATTAATTAATAGTTATTACACTAGTTCATCATTCATAAAAACACATAAATGTTTACTGATGAGGTTTTGTTAAAAAGCTACTGGTGCGCATAAATAGAAGACCATTTAAAAAGTCGTCTTCAACAGCTGAAGATGAATCCTGGTGGCGAAACAAAAGCAGACGGCTTAAGCGGCTGTCTGCGGGAAACAGATCCGAGTAGCGCGGATTTAATAGGCGTCTCCTTAAAGCTAAAGTTTATCTGACCAGTAATTTGACTGACATCAGGCCAGCTGTTGATCTGATGGATGCTTATTAAAGCCTCACGTTAAAACTTCCTCACAGATCATCTGGACTGACTGCAGAGTTTGTTTTCTCATTCCCATCGTCTAATTGGAGCGCCTCTCGTCAGTCAGCGTTCTCCCAACACATCACACACACTCAACACACTCAGGGTGGTGCATACAAGACTTGGAGAGCTCCAATTATCTGTAAGCGTGTGTGTGTGTGTGTGTAGTTGACAGCTAGACGCTTTCAGGGTCAGACGAATGCAAAGCCGGGGGGAAACTCAGCTATTCTCTTTCATTTTAGATGCGTCTGTGTCTGATAAAGGAGATCTGGGTGATGCTTAAGGGCTGTGTTGTTGCCAAGGTAACGTGCTTGCGGTGCAAAGCAAGGACAGATGATAGACTTGTTTCCTAATAAGTAACGGAGCTTTTCTGGAGCAAACACACCATTCGTTCAATAATATTATGAGCTTCCTGCTTTTTTGAGCGCCTTCACTCATGAGAACAGATATGGGCTGGTGGGGATACACCGCTCTTGTGTGTGTGTGTGTGTGTGTGTGTGTGTGTGTGTGTGTGTGTGTGTGCGTGTTCTGAAGTCTGAAGGCTGCACTCCAGCAACAATGGCTCTTGGGCTCTGACTGGATGAGGTAACCAAGGCAACACCCAACATCCCTCTGGGAAGTCCACAGCAGGATACTCTCACTCTCTCTCTCTCTCTCTCTCTCTCTCTCTCTCTCTCTCTCTCTCTCTCTCTCTCTCTCTCTCTCTCTCTCTCTCTCTCTCTCTCTCTCTCTCTCTCTCTCTCTCTCTCTCTCTCTCTCTCTCTCTCTCTCTCTCTCTCTCTCTCTCTCTCTCTCTCTCTCTCTCACACACACACACACACACACACACACACACACACACACACACACACACACACGCACACTGGTAACCATGCATGACCAGGGACGTATGTTCCAGCTGGCGTCTGCATCCCTCTAGACTCGGCTAATTGGTGAGCGGTGCTTTAAGGACATCTGCTGCTGCTAAAGCGATACTCACATAGGCTTCCTTTCATAGACGAGTTCCCCGATTCTCACCTTCAAGTGTGCTATAGATGTGTCAGACTCAACCGGGGTCACTCTAAAACAAAAGCAAAAAAATGTGGCCTACAATCTGACTCACATTTGTTTAACAAAATTTTTTGAACAAAAAAGAATTTTATTAAAAAATTTTTTTAATAAAAATAAATCATGAGTACATTTTTAAACAACTGTAACCCTTTTTACAAAGCATTACATTTTACATAAAACATTATGAATATATGTTTTTTTAACCATACAAAACAGTTTTGATCTATTAAGTCATGATAAAAATTGTTGGTAAAATAAATTGTGTTATTCCAGTTTTCTCCTAAAAAGGACCATTTTCTTTTCTACAAATTGTTTTCTCTCCTTTTTCCACAAAATTTATAATTCAAATGGAAGTTTGGTAATATATTAAAAAAAAAATCTGGCTTCAAAGTTCTTGGTTACAAAATTTTTTATGTGTTTCGGAAAAGCTACAGTATGTTCTACTGTTTTTTCTTTGTTTTCACAAATCATTAAATAAATATTCCGACATGTTTAGTTAAAATAAAAATAACAAGGTTTTAACCCCCCCGAGACATGAATTTGTATTTGGTCTGATTTAAAAGAAAGACACTTCTAGCCGTCACAGATTTGTCAACTTTCATAAACATGAACAAAAATGTTTTAATAAAAAAAGTTATGGTCATTTTGACAAACTTCCAGCAAAAAAAGAAAAAAAGTTCTGTATTAGCAAAATCATGAGTTACAACAAAAATTGCGTCAACATTTTTAAATTTTAAATCATACTCACATTTTAAAATCCATTTGTTTTTGTAAACATTGACACCACAATTCTTTATATTTTATTTAAAATCTTTTATGTGAATAAAAACCTTTCTCTAATTCATTTAAATATAAATAAATCTGTTTCTTATCCTTTGTTTTGCCTCCTCTTTCTGCCCAGAGCCTGTGTTATCCTGGGTGTCATTTTCGTCCTGTCCTCCCTGTGCATCATGGGAAAGGCCATCCACGACCTGGCCACCAAGCTGCTTCCGGAAGTGGTGAGAATTGATCAGCTGCACACATAAAAAAATAGACAACTCTTCCAGAATGGTACAACGCTGAAGCAAACATCTAAACACCATCTCATCATCTTGTTAACCACCAGAACTACAGATTAGCACTCACCAGCTCCAGCTTTGGGTCAAAACAGGACTCAACATGGAGACGGATGGCAGGTTTGGATCAAATAAACCACCATATGGGACACATTAGGTTGTCCATTTCACAGTCGGAGGACAAAGATCCTGAAAACATCCTCAAGCTGATCCTAAAACGGCCGTATTAGTGACAGCTGGACGGTTCGCCTCGGTCAACTCCACCACGGTTTAATGGATAATCTGATTTTCCAGAGGAATTTGTAGTAATGTCAAAGCCTTGCCAGACTAATGCCAGCTCTCTGCCAGGGACGAGGATTTCAGAAATAGAAAAACAAACATTTGAGTTTGGGCTGATCTAAAAATATCTGAACAGCACAGACAGTTATTGATGTCGTTCCAGTTATTTGCATTAAGCTGCCTGACTCTGTCCTAGTGACTCTGTCCTTAAATGAACCTGATTTAAAATATCACGTTTTCAGCTTCACATAGTCCTCATCACTGAAAAGGACATCAAACAAACAGAGCTGCTAGTGTTGATGTTTGCTTTTGAAGCAGATTTATGTATATACAATAATAAAATATCCATTTCATTAGCCGAAAGGGGCAAAACTTACAGGTAGCTGAATTTAGCATAATTCATTGTTACCCATTTGTAATCTGAAACATTCCCATATCATGATACCGTCAGTGCCATTATGCCGTTAGGTGGGATTACAGGTGTAGGATTTGCATCTGCATGAGGTATTTTGACCCTTTATCCAAAAGCTTACCTAATAATTAGTGATAATCATCTTCTGATCAATTAAGCCAGCATCTTGCTAGGAAGACATGTTGGAGACAAAATGCGAACAGCATTGATGACTGAGTCTCTAATTAATTTCTAAACATTCATGAAAGATTCTTCAAATCATCTTGAACAACTTGTTCTGGGAATCTCCAAGTAGTCTTGAAACATTCACCAGAGAATCTCTAAGTTGTCTCAAAAAATTCCCAAAGAAGTCTCCAAAAAATTTCTAAACATTCAAAAGGGAGTCTCCAAATCATCATAAAAATTTTACGGGGTCTTCAAGTCATGAAATTTTCACGAGGGATCTCCATGTTGTATCACAAATTTCAGAAAGGATTCTCCCAAATCATTCATAAACATTCACAAAGGAATCTCCAAGTGCTCTAAAAATTCACAAAGGAGTCTAAGTAATTTCTAAACATTCGAAAGGGTGTCTCCAAATCATTGTGAAAAATTAATGGAGTCTTCAATTTATCATGTAACATTCATTAGGCATAATCCATGTCTTAAAAACTTCCTAAAGGAGTTTCCATTTCTTAAAATTCAATATAGATTATCCAAATTGTCATGAAATATTCACAAGGCAGTCTCCAAGTTGTCTCAAATAATTCACAAATGAGTCTCCAAGTCGTCCTGAAACATTCACAACAGAGACTTCAAATCATATCAAAACAGTCATAAATGAGTCTCCCAATCATCTCAAAACATTCACAAGGGAGTCTCCAGATAGTTTCAAAACAAGTACAAGGGTGTCTCCAAATTGTCTCAAAACATTGAAAAAGGATTTTCATTTTCTTGCGTGAGTTTCAGGGTGTCTGTCGTGATGCTGGAATCAGATGTTATAAAATTCTAGATTCATAGCAAGCGCAGTTGTAATGGGCTTGACACATGGGAGGCGACAAACGACCGCAATCAGCAAAATTTGTCGCTGTCGCTTTTATTACCTGACACATGGGAGGCGATCCGCGGCAAAGCTGTCTACGCGTTCTGTTTCATGGCGAAATCGAAACTTCCGTTGTTTTTTTTGGCTGTGTCAGGTTGGAGGGAATTAAGGTTATTTAAGCGGTTCAGAGTTAAAAAAGCGATAGATATGATGTTTCACAAGGTGCTGCTAGAGTTATGTGAAATCTTACTTCTGATTTTACTATATAAAACTTACTAATAATCAACTTCTCCTCCCATGTTTGCTCGGAGATGTACGGAGCATCCTGTCCGCTCATTGGTCAGTGAATGAAACCTCCGTTGATTGGTCCTTGTCCGAGCGACAGCGATGAAAAGTTGAAAATATTTCAACTTTCTGGGATCGCGTTGCTGGATCGCCTGTGCATGACACGTGCACGAGCGCAAAATTTCACACTCACGTTTTTCACGTTTCGCTTAGTAGGAGGGAGACCCGCGATTATCGCTTTGTCGCTCATGTCTCATTGAAAATGAATGGAGGAGAGGCGATGACGCCTCCCGTGTGTCGAGCCCATTAGTCAGAATTCCCATCAGTGTCTGAAATGTTGGAGACTAAACTAAGTTGCCACTGGAGACGAAAAATTTACTACAACACAATAGTGTGAAATAAAAAGGAAACTAAACCTTGTATGTATAGATTGTGACAAGAACATTTTTAGTTTCTCAATATATTAGCATTTCTGACCAAAGAAAAGTCTCCGAAATACCAGTATTTTAAAATAAGTTGCAAAATGTTGAAAATATTTGCTTGCCTGCCTGTTTATCTAGGTTTTCTTGCAGTAGAAGGTCATGTCAACAGACTGATCAATTTATGTTTTTGCTACTTTTCTACTTTTTGGCCTTTGTCTTGTTTTATTTCTTAGATAGATTTACATTTGTGTTTCTAAGTGTTTTTTTTTCTTGTCTTAGGTTTTATAGCTAATTAAAAGTCTAAAATAATGATAAATAAACCCATCACGGTGGGAAACTGACTCATATAGTAAAACATTTAGTTTCAGCTCTTGAAATACAAAAAATGCAACAGAATGTTTTTTCAATAAAACAAACTTTCAGCTTTCTCGCTATAGTTCCCAAAGATTTTACTTAATTACATTTAGTTTATTTTCTCTGAAGCCACAGAGGAACTCCACAGCAGCTGTTTACATAACAAGGGTCATGTGACTCCCAGTCAGCACACAGGTGGAATTAATGGACCAAATTTGGTGACTTGTGACAGCAGCACTTGATCACGTTCAGGGTTTAAACAGAAAACAGGGAGAATAAACATACATCTGGTTACATATCAGGATGCAGTAGTCGAGTCTAGATTTGTTAGTCAGTTTTCTGAGTATTGACATTTACGCGTGAGTTCCTGGGATGACAGTCTGGTGTCAAATTCTGTTCTGTACTCCATAATGAGCTGAAGCCTTGATTAGTTTTCATGGAAACAGACTGAACGTCCAATCAGAGGGTTTTAATTTTCTCTGGGTATCGTGTGAATTAGTGAGAATGAGGCATAACCCGTCGCTGCTGCTGTTCGATGAAGAGTGTCACAAATCTCAGGTGTGAAGAGTCACAAACACGTCTGAAATAGCATCATGGCCCTGTTGCTAGGCAGTAGTCATCGCCGTAGAAACGGATAGAAGAAGGAGGGCATTTAGGAGCAAATTAGTTTGTGAAACAACTTTAATTAACACATTTTTTTTCTTCCTCGTGTAGCCTGGAGAACAAAAGTCTTTTGTTTCAGTGTTTTATCACACGATGAAGAAATATTATTCTTTGTCATTTAACTCATTTTCATCCATTTTTTTTACGGGGCAAGCGTCGGAATGAGCCGCGAGAACAAACATCGCAGTTCTAAAGCTGATCTTCATCCGTGTATGTCACGCGTCACGTGATCAGGAAGCAGAAAATACACGTGTTAGGAGATTGTTTTGGGCCGCTGCTGTGAAAAAAGTGAGCTGCTCACAATTCAACAACGGATTATGAAGGAACGGTTACCGCTAGAAACACACAGATTCTTCTTGATGTAAGAAGTGAGTCTACTTTTTGTCTACAGGTAGTTTTGGCGTTTACATCATCAAAGAGCACAATGTTCTATGACTCTTCAAAAAACAGTAAAACACTCAAAAATTGTGGCAGCCAGGGGTTTTTCTGGGCAGGAAACAGCTGGCAGTAATCATGTTTTCCTGGCAAAAGTTACAAGATTCCTCACCTAATATCCACCCAATTTCGTCCGCTTTTCTGGGGTCGGGTTGCGGAGGCAGCAGCCTAAGCAGGCAGGCCCAGACTTCCCTCTCCCCAGCCACTTGGGCCAGCTCCTCCGGGGGAATCCCAAGGCGATCCCTGGCCAGCTGAGAGACTAATGGGCCATTCCCATCTGTACCAGGTCGGCCCGGGCCGGGTAGCGTAGGTTGTTTACATATCTGGGTGGCCTGGTATTTTTCCGGGCCAACCAAGGCTCATTCTCAGCCCTCTTCTCGAGGGGGTCTGCTTCAGGCCGACCAGGGCCAACACACCCACTGCTGACAGCAAATTCACACCTTCCAATAGAGCAAGCCTCTGATTGGTGGGTAGAATCAGCCCACATGGGCTTAAGACAAGGATGTGTGGAATTAACCGGGCCAGGCTGGGGCCGACTGGGGCTACCCGGCCCGGGCCGACCTGGTACAGATGGGAATGGCCCAATAGTCCCTCCAGCGTGTCCTGGGTCTTCCTCTAGGTCTCCTCCCGGTTGGACGTACCTGAAAAACCTCACCAGTGAGGCGTCCAGGAGGCATCCTAATTAGAGGCCCGAGCCACTTCAACTGGCTCCTCTCGATGTGGAGCAGCAGCAGATCTACTCTGAGCTTCTTGACCCCTCTCTAAACCTCTGTTCATCTTCAAGAGATAAGAAAAGGTTGTGGCTAAACAACTCACAGCTGCTCTTGAACATAACCTCTATGATAGTTTCCAGTCAGGTTTTTGTAGAGCTCATTCTACTGAAACAGCTCTTCTTAGGTCTCAAATGACCTTCTGACTCAGTGTTGCAGCGGACTGTTCTGTTCAGGTCAGGTCCTGCGGAACCTGACTGCAGCCTTTGACACTGTTGACCATCATCTGCAACTAGAGAGGCTGAAATACTGGGTAGGCCTATCAGGATCTGCCCTGTAGTGGTTCTCCTCATATCTGAGTG